AAATAAAATAAAATAAAATAAAATAAAATAAAATAAAATAAAATAAAAATAAAATAAAATAAAATAAAATAAAATAAAATAAAATAAAATGTTGGCTTTCTTACCACCACCACCTTTTCTGTTAAATCAATGCAAAGCTATTGTTTTTTTTGTAATACAGAGTGCCAAGGGAGGTCACTTGCACTGGGGAAGCGGTACCTGGTACCTGTAGCATCAATGGTTTCCACATCATGATCTATGTTAAACATCTATCTCTCTCTAGAATCCCAGAGTCATAGAGTCATAGAAAAACTCAAGTTGAAAGGACCCTCAAAAGATCATCAGGTCCAACCTTCCATAAGAAAAGGGAGCTTGTCTTAGAAGAGATTACTTAGCACCCCATCCAATTGCATCTTGAAAACCTCCACCACATTCCTGGAGAGGTTGTTCCGGTGATGGATTGTTCTCGCTGTAAAAATTTCTTTCTTCTATCAAGATGAAAGAAAGAATTGCTTCTCCTGGTGCAATTTGTATCCATTGCCCCTTGACTTATCCATGTGGCTTCTTGTGAAGAGAGACCATCCACCCACTCTGTAGCCACCAGTTAAGTACTGCAATACTGTGACGAGGTCCGTCCTGAGCCTCCTTTTCTCCAAGGTGAAAAGACCTAACTACTTTAGTCCTTCCATCCTCATAGGACAGGTTCTCCAGCCTTTAGATCATCTTTGTGGCCCTCATTTGGACTCTCTCCAGTCTGTCTGCATCTTTTTTGATTTGTGGGGACCAGAACTGGACACAGTAATCCAGGTGTGGCCTGGCAAGCACTGAGTAGAGAGGGATGATTGCATTTCTGTCTCTGCCAGCACTGTCCCTGTGGATACATGCCAGGATCTGATTTACCTTCATTTCTGTAGTGGCACACCCTGTATATGGAAACACACACAAGTATGTTTTTAAATAACACTTTTTCTATTGGGGAAGAAATTGCCCTATCCCTGTCTATGTGCCCCACACTGATCCTGAAAGACATTTTTCTCATAATAGACAAATAAATACCCGGTCTTTTATTCTTACATTAATTTAAAATGTGAGATCACTTGGCAGTGAGACCATTAGTTTGTGAATTTAATGTAGTCTTGCTTTCGCTGTAAGACTTTGATTGGTTTAAGAGACTTCTTTAGAGGACTGCAAAGAAACTGGCATGAACTATAAATTCCTTGCTAATAGAATTGTTTAAAAGGCCATTTCAATGTATCTCGATTTTTATAGATGGTGCTTGGCATGCAGCTAGCTTGAAGGAGAGTATTTCCTATGCCTCATGCTGGGCTCTGTCGCAGATGTCATCGAAGCTGCAGTACCAGCCCTGCCTGAGGGCAGTTTTGCAGGCAGGTCATCTTCCTCTTCATTTTCCTGCTCTCTCCTTCCTCTGACTATTGCACATTGAAACACTGCACTACAATCAGTTCCTTCTGAACAGATAATAATGATTACTCTTTGCTGTGTTAGCAGCAAACTAAATGATTTTTCTTTGTGTGCTATTGTCACACCTTAAAGTCATCTGTTCTCTTTAAATAAAAAATAAAAAAATAATTATCCTTCATAAAACACTTTTACTGAATTCTCTTCCCTCTTTTAGGTTGTGCTTGGGTAAACAATTTATGTTTTTAAGGATCGCTGTTTATTTCAGTAAAGCTGTGCATGCAGTGGAAACTGAGTTTAGGCAGATGCTTAACCATTTTGCAATATTGGGGTCTTAGTGGGCAATTTGGGATTTTGGGGGTGGTTGGTTTTTCTCTTTAAGAAATTGCCCCTGATTGTTTCACATACCATATATTCAAAGGCTTGCATGCATCAGGAATTATGCTCAAATTACTGACTGGATTTTCTATGATAGATAGCACTGGTGCTAATATTATCATTCATTACAGGCAAACAATGTAATAACAGTCCCATCTTTTGTCATGATGACATATAATAAGATCTGCATTATGAGCAATCATCTACTGATGTGTATTTATACCGTAAAACAAATCTCAGGCACAAATACTAGCCAGCAATCTGCTTTTTCTGTTTGTAGCTACTGCTGCAGGTGTTATTTGCTCTCCTCTAGAGAGGATCTGAGTCTGTTGAGTTAGTTGTTTGGTTTGAGCAGCACTGACTTATACTTCCAGTGCCAAAGATACCGCTATTGTCCAAGACAGTGTTCTTCAGGATTTTGATGATCAGGGTGTGCATTTGGCACTATTTATGATTGAATAAATTGTTCACAGAAATTGTGCAAACAAAACCCAGACCGGTGCTCATTGTTCACAGCATGTGACTGCTCTCTTAAACTGAATTCTTTCTTTACTTCTCCTTCTTACCTGAATGACAGCCTGTAACAGGTACATGGAGACCCCCAAGGCCAAGAATAGTAATGTCTTCCGTTAGGGAGGAAAAAAAAAAAAAAAAAAAGAAAAAAAAAAAAACTTCCTTGCTGGGAAAAATTGAACTGATTCCTACCTGAAGAATTTACTTGTCTTTATGAATGTGAAGGGGGGAGGACATTCATATGGAAACCAACTCACTCCCCAAATATCTGATCCTCCCTCACACAAGTATTATTTAATTCTTTTATAAACTTAATCTTTTAAAATCAGTTTATAGATTCCTATTCTTACTCCTCTTTCATTCCTTTCTTAAATCTGTATTCTCTTAACCTTCCAAAATGTCACGACCTGTTCATGCACTACTTTAATCAGGCCTGTATCTCTCATTTTTCAAACCAAAACAAAGCACATAATTTATCCCAGTCCTAGAAAGCCAAAACACTCTCTTGATGCAGAAATAGTCTTTTGTGAGAATTAGATTAAAATGTTTATATTGTCCAGGTTGGTTCATGGTTAGATAATAGACTGAATCATAAAAAATTTTTATTCTTGACAGCCTTGAGGAAGAGATCACTACCACATTGTGGTTTCTTAATAAACCTTTTTGTCTGTATAAGGCCAACAAATCTGTAGCATTTTGCCCTGAGCTATTTTGCGGTGTGAAATCTCTTCTGGCTAAACAGATTTATTTTGGTGTTAAAAGTTTTGCTTTTTCTATGTTGGGTTGTTTGGTTGTATGTTTTTTTTCAGAAAACTGCTTTTTAGACTGTGGGAAATGCCACAAAAACATCCTTGGTGGAGACTTGTGTGTTCATTCACTATGGTACAGCACAGCAGGGGCAGCACCAGCTCCCTCCACAATGAATGGAAACCCTGGGAACTGGGACTCATCTCCTATCTCTCCCATGGACTTGCTGCATGAAGCCCTGAAAAAGTCGCTTCTCATTTCGTACCTGTTTTCACCACTTCCCTTTGTCTGTTTGGGTGGGAAGCTTTCAAGTGCAGCATCCCTTGTGATGTCTGGGTACCTCACATAGCATGAAGGAAACCAGCCGAAGCATTTTGTTGGTGATGAAACCTAAATGATAAAGAGGGGCATGTTCACACGTGAGCTGGTGCTTCAGCACTGTTAAACTCTTTCCCATCAAGGTGTGACCACAAATCGCTCCCCTACCAGTAGCCTATTGGTCAGTCCTCATCTACTTTTATTTGCTTATTCTCTAGTTACCAGAGCAGAGAGCTGGATTTCTTCTCTCAAAGCCTTGAGTATACAGAGTTATTAAACTAAAATTTACCAAACCACTGAAGTGTTTTTTAAAGCAGAAAAGGTCAGATGAACAATTTATCTTCTTTTGCAAGGCTTTTGTTGTCTTAAATGGGTGGGTAATTTGTCAGGTATACTCCAGTTGTTACTTAAAGGTAGTGGAATAATTTTTATATTACTTGTGATAATATTGGCATTTTTTTGACTGTTGACTGTGCATTGAATCGATTGTAACACAATCCATTATTGTACCTCAGACCTATTTGAATCTATTTGCAGCTATCACAATTTCAAAAGAACAAGTTATCCAGGAGCAAGTGATAGCCACTTTACAATCTGACTATTTATTCAAGGTTTAATTCCAAAAATGTGCAAAGTTATATTACCAGAAAAATCCAATAGACCATCACACTATCACCGAGTTATATCTGCATTACTATATTTACTATTTACTGATCCCAGCCTGGGAAATAGCATTTTTGCAACATTTACAAAAATGGTCATGTTGAATCTTTTGGCATAGTCATCTTCACCCCAACTTTCCTGGTCATTGTCAGCATAAGGGAAGGAATCAGTATGGGTTGCACTGCAATAATTCCCCCCTTAGTTACCAGCAGAATTCTTGAACTCTGAATTATATTAAAGCCTGAGCTATCTCTTTGTCATCCCATAGATTAAGGAAGCAATGATATATGTCCTCTGGACTAGCAAGAGAAGTATTCTGGTGTGTTGATAACAGAAAACTAGCCATTTTTATTCTGCAGTTCTGTGGCTGCAAGTGGGCATTAATCATATATAGAAAAGATTAAATAGGGTTTTCTCCAGGGTATGGAAGAGTTCTTAACATCTGTGGTCTCCAGCTCCTGTCAATAAGGATGTGTCTGTTGGTGACTTCATTTTAATCTCTGAAGTTTACATCAGGTCAATATAGCAGCATGTCTTACTTGCTGAGGCTGTGTCATATTTCCTGGGAACTTCATAGCTGTTTTCTCCATTTCAATCACCTTTCATGCCCTATTTTCTGCACTGGGTTAAAAGCTTTCATTAAGTCTCCATTGGTAATTAGTGATGTCAGAGATCCAGTAGCCAGTGGTGGTGCCTTTCAATACACACAGGTTGTGGTTACAGAAGGAGGTGCAAGACTGCTGTTTTAGAAACAGGCTTCAGCCTCAGAAAATGTATTGTTCTGGACTGTCATTGTTTGCCTTTGGTGGCAGCTCATAGGCATTTCTGAGGTCTGTTTTGTTATCTGATGTCACCTGATTTTTAAAACTGATCTGTAATCTAGGAAGAAGTTCCATGTGAGTTTTTCTCTTGTCCATTCTCTGCTTTCACCCTTTGGCTGAAAGCATTGCTTGAAATATCTTGACTTTTTAATTATTTTTCAGAGAGATCTCACAGAATGATGCCTTGGAGGTCATAGAAGCAAATGTGTTTTCCAACCTTCCCAAACTACATGAAATGTAAGTAATGAGCAATCTAAATTCAAAGAATACAATTATAAAGATGCATTATAGGCAAGTATCAAGGTTTTGCAGTTTAGTTCAGGTAAACTCTGAAGAATCCATAGTAATACAAGAACATTGGAAATCTCCCTGTGTCTTTCCCATGTTCTTATCTAACACTCATTCTTTCCCTGGTCAGTCTGAAACCTATCCTCAAACCACTGCTGATATCAGAAAGCAGTGGGGTCTGTCAGTCTGTGGTAGGCTGCTATTTGGAAGCAGATCTGCTCTCAAAAAAATATATATAGATATAGATATATAGATATAGATATAGATAGATATAAAATAATAATCTGTCACAGTACTGTACAGTACTACTACATCCTGGGGCAACCACACATATTTTAGGATGCAAGCACAGACAGTTTAAGATCAATATATTGATGTATTTCTTCTGATGTTTCACTTTCTCTTTGCAGAAGAATTGAGAAGGCCAACAACCTCGTGTACATTGATCAAGATGCCTTCCAGCACCTTCCAAGCCTTAGATATTTGTAAGATTTTTTTGCTTTTTGAAAGTACTATAATCATTTTAAATGATACAGATGTCTTTCCATCTAACCTGTGCTAAGCAATTTGATGATGACAAGGTAATGCCCTGTCTTCACTTCCCCACCCCACACACTAAGTTGTGTATTGTCAATCCACATTTTCATACACAAGCCTGTACGTGGTCCTCAGAAAAGCTGAAGGTAATATTGTCTATGAAGAATCTATGGAGATTCTCCAATGATCTCCACACACTAAATATTTGAGCTTTTCTAAGTAACATTTGTAAACTGAGTGATGAGAGAAGGGTGTGGGAATTTTTTTCATGGCAATGAAAACAGGTCTAGGTGGAAATTCCTCCTGCAAACCTTAGGACAAAAAACCTCTCATCTCTCTTTGCTATGGCTCTGTCTTCTGTTAAACTTCATACACATGGTCTTAAGCATTCAAATTCTCTTTTCTTCAGCAATGACAGTGCTATAGCAATGATTTTCACTAACACTGGATGCGAGATGATTGAAACCTTAGAATGCAAATGTACTGGTGTATGCGATAACTTTATTTTATTAGTCAGCTTCATCAAGAATGCAGTTTGCACAACTGTGGTTGCCACATCTGTTCTCATGGGGTTGCCATCACAATTCAGTGATAATTTAAGCCACCCTTAAAATAAACTACTACCCAAAATATTTTCACAGCTTTTAGCATGTGACCTTAACATGAATAATGACATCTCCTCTGCTATGTATTAAAACCCAAATGAAGTCCAATTAACTCCATTTAGCAGTAATTGTTTTTAATGGCTATAGCTTAAATAGGCTCCTACAGTGCTCTTTGCTGAACAGCATATATACCAAACAGGATATTATCTGGACTTTGATATGTCTATCCTGCTGAGCTCATGTACCCAACGTTATTTTCCTTGCTCATATAAGAAGCTTTGCTGATCACAATATCTACTTTTGAGTAAATAAGTGCTTAATTGTCTGGTTAGCTGCTTCTTAAAGATGGGATAAAATCAGGTCAGTGGTCCAATAAGCATGAGTGTTTCGAGTCTCTGAAAATCACTGGTGTCTGGCAGATTCTGGGCTCAGAAATGGCAAGAGACATTGGCTTGAATTTGAACTTCAAGATTCAAGATTTAAGATTTGGACTTTAAGAGATAAGGTTTATTTAGCGCTATACAATGTATCTCATTTCTTACTGACTCCATTCCTTGTATCGCATTAATTAAGTAGTTTATTGGCATTATTGATGTTTTCCACTGGTCCCTCCTTTCTCTGTTTTTCATAGAAAGCTTTTCCAGAAACACAATGATTTGGTGACTAGAAAATTTCTTCAGATTTAATCCATGGCCATTTAATTCAAGTTCATTTTCATTCCAAAACTTTTCTCTAATTTAAATAGAAAAAAAACATCTTTGGTGTTTAATACACTAATGGATTCATATTGCTTCCACTATATGTTTTTATTTTATTTTATTTTAGGAGGCAAAAAAAGACTCTTGCAAGACTGTGAATAATACAAAAGGTGCAGACATCATTGCTCCTAAAGTCTGAACTACTGAATGTGTCTTTCATATTAATGACAAGGTTTGAGGTAGCTGCACCTTTGGCTTTGGTGAAGTGACATCAGTTAACATCACAGGAATATGGTTAAAACACTTTAATCGAGATAGCTTTTCAGCAGTTTCTGAGCTATGTTCCCCACTTAAAAAAGGCAGATGTGTCTGAATTAGTAGAGCAGATACCTGCTGGTAAATTGGCTTACCTTCATATGCCCTGGTCCCCCAGGGGCATCTCCAGCTGGGGTCCACACCAGTTTCCCAAATAGACCACAGTGAGGCAGCAGAGCTGGAGAGGAAGTCATGTACTTGGAGAGATCCTTGGCCCAATCTTCTGCTGTAGACCTTGCTGTAAGACCTCTGTAATCCTTCCTGGTCTGTCCCACAAAGCAGAACAGCTGACACAGGCACCCCTGAATCTTAGGATAAAGAAGTTTAGTGAGACCCACCTGCAATCAGCACAGAAAAGCAGGGTGCTCTTGTATGTGCACATTGCTTTGAGCTTGTTGTGATTCTTCCTTAAGTTTCCAGCCTCAGTGGCAGCCTGGCAGTGTATGAGACATGTAGTCTGTCTGATTCTTTATGACAGTGCCATGGTTATAACAGAACTGTTAAAATGCAGTTCAGAAAATCTTGCAGGAAAAAAAAAAAAAAATATATATATATATATATATATATATAATGTATGTATGTATTTACTAGACATTTTCAGAAGGAAAATTTAAAAAAAAAAATAAAAAAGATTTGAGAAAAATTAATCAGTGTTAATGCATGAGGTGGAGGCTAGGCACCATTGCCCATCAGTTTAATGACCTTTGCAACTGTTGCTTCCAAGACTTTATCTGTGCTTCTTCGAAAATAGTCATATAGCCACTAGATCTTATTTATTGGCAGGCAAGAAGCTCTGGCTAACATTGTCAGCCCTCTCATCAGCTTTATGGGCTCGTTATAGCCACTGGCAGTTGAACATGAATATGCTTTTATCTGTGTCAACTTGAGTACAAATACATTTTCCACTCACCCTACTCCCTTTGTCTCCTGCATCATCATTACTAGTATGGCCAAAATACTACGGCGAGAAAAATACTTCTAAAATCCAATGCTGAAATTTCCTAAGCCTTCTAGAAAAATGCAACCTAAACTTTCCTGCCAGTCTTTTAGAAGAGGATGTGAAGAGGATTGTTAATTGGTCTTCTTGGATATGTGCCAAAGAGACAGACTGCTTCAAAATGGTAACTTGTTGACCTTTTCATGGGTACAAGATTATTTGTCTGGCTCTCATTAGGGAGAGCTGTGGCATTGTCTGTTTAATAATGCAGTGATGGCTTTTCAAACCTATTTTATTTCCAAAATTAGTTCTATGTCCTTTGGTTGTTTTTACAGTGCATGCATTGATGTCCTGTATTAAGCAATCTCAAAATAGAAAGGTTTAAATGTGACACTTTTTTTCAGATCAATTTTAAGGGCATACAGCTAGATTGTTGGTGGGAAGGGAAAGGTAGGCCATGAAAATGTTTTTTATCTCTAAAATATTTTTCATTATGGAGAGAACAGCCCAGCCCCAAAGACTCGCAGATGCTTGTACATGCCTGTCCTTAACCCATGGAGAGCCTGACACATGTATGCCTGGCATGCTTCTTAAATCCAGTCTGTATTTATTGCAGATGCAGATGCAGCTAGTCATGCTTAATAGAGATATCCAAGTTGTCTGCAATTGTCCACAAATTGATGACCCTTTTCATAGAATGGGATTTTCAATCAGAAGTGATGATCCATTCATCCTTTTGCATGGGAGCCTCATGTTTAAAGACCTTGCCCAGCAGTGAGTTCCATGGATTATAGACTCAGCATAGCCTGCAAGGCCAGTTCACATGAGTCAGAGGACTTTCTTGCTGGAGTACAGTACAAAGTCACTAGTGTGATTAAGGGGCACATAAATAATACTTCCTGAGTGACGCTCTATTTAACTCAGCCTACCTTGCATTTGCAATTTCCAACTTCCTCAATAAATTGATGGAGTAAACTATGGTCCATGTTTTGTCAGAATAACTCCTACCAACTTGGTATTAAAAAGGTCTGGAAATTTGCTATATCTGGAAATAAGCAGCCAGAATCTTCCAGGAATTAGTTACTGAAAAAATTTTATTCTCTGGTGCTCTTGGTGCAATGTTTTCTTAAATGCTGACTCCAGTAAGCCTTTTCAGAAAGATAATTAAAGCTTTGGAAAGCAGCCATCAGCCATTTGAAAAACAGGTTCTTACTGAGCTGTTTATATATGGCAAGGGGGAACTTAGTTAAAGCACAGATTAAAGAGGACACTTGTTTAAAGCAAGGCTACTAAGGATGTATACATTATATGGTAAACATATTGACAAAACTGTCCTTCAAGAAAGATATTCAGAAAATTGGATTATCTACATTCTAACAAGATTATCCACTTAAAGGCCTCTGGAGATTTGTTGGCTGAATAAAAAGAGAAGAGAGATCTAGGCCGCACTCTAGCTAAGTATTTTTTCAGTTCTTTTTCTGCAATTAATTAAAAGAACATCCTTTCCTATTCCTAATCACTGTTCTGTGCCTCTGTGCAATCAGTACCTCATACCCTTAGATTTACTTCAATATGTAACAATTTGTTGAAGATGCTTTTCTCTTCATCTCATGCTGCTCACTCATGTGATGTCAAATCACCAGTGTAAACTGAACCCTGAGCAATTTTGGATTACTTGAAAGATCAGTAGTATTGCGTCACGCAAGGCCTTGAATGTCTTTATTCACATATATAAGGCAAAACCCCTCCTAACCAGTATTGCATTTTGAGTTTGGATTAAGTTGCCACAGGGAGTAGTGCTTGAACAGCATATAGTAGAGTACCATCATCCTTCATTACCAGAACAAGAGGACCGAGCTTTCCTTAGGAAAGTAAAGTAGAAAGGAAAGCTTTTCATGTCTTCTTGGTTCTGCAATAACCACACAATATTTGGAAGCAGTTTGCTTCTTCATTTACCTATTAAAGCAAATGCGTGCTGTAATTTGTATTTAACAAGTGGCTCTTAAAATTAATTGCATGAATTTTTAGCGTATGACTCATTTAAAAGTAAAGGCACCTTTCAAATAAAATCCTCTACTTCTCCAATGATTTAGAGAGTGTACTTTAGAATACTATAAGGGGGGATTTGAAGGTTCTTCTTCTATTGCTTCTAATTTTTATTTTTTTTGCTAATTCCTTTCACAAAGTATAAGTGCAGAAGTACTTTAAATAATAACAGGCTTATGAAATCCACCTGTTTCATTAATCCTGCTTTCTATTTAACTACATGCAATAGTTTTTCAAAGGCATTTTTGTAGAGCTTTCTTGGTCACACATGACAGCTGTGATTTTTAAGCTAACGTAATGTCAGACCACTCTGACTCCTGGGATGAAACAGTCAATGACATTTCATCAACATTTCCAAATTGGCTTCATGAATATTCACTACACTTCTTTAATTTTTTCCTACATATAATGCAATGCTTTTTGTTATGAGGAAGATAACCAGTTGGCTTTTCAATATGAACCTCTGAGAATATCCAAATACCGCCTCAGAGAGCTCAGATGAGTATTCCTACAAGTGAATGACTATTTATGGACCTTTTTGGTCCTTGTGGATTTGGTTGTCACAGTTGGCTGTTTGGTTTCAGTTCAGTTCATAAAACTTGAAAGTCTGCAACTGTTCTGAAATGGTCTAGGTTCATAATAAACATCAAATGAATGCCTTTACTTTTTTCCAGTCTCAAGCAGTGCTTTTCATCACCATCTAACACCATTCAGGAATGAATCTGCCCCAAAAAAATCGCATCCAGTAATGGAAGAATATTGTTCTATTTAAGTGCCAAGATAAAAAATACCTTCCATATACTACATATACTTCCATTATACTACACCTTAAAGAACCAATATGTTCAGTAAGATATTCTCTACATCTCACACAGTAAAAATACAAAGAGATAATTACCCTTTCAAGAACCCGTATTTTCTTTCTTTGGTACCATAAGCATGGTAATGAGACATTTTGGTGGCTGAGACAAACTCCAGCTCCTCTTTCCTACTGCACTTCCCCAGCCAGGCACTCCACCCTCCTTCCAGCCATCAAACAGCCAACAACCTTCTCTTTCTGCATGGCAATATCGTTTGTTGCTCCTGTCCTACCCTTACTACTGTTCTGGACAACAAAAATTGCTTAACTGGACATGGTGCAGCTCTGTCAATAGCTGTGCCCCCTTTTCCTCCCTGGCTGTGGGCACAGGATTGTCCTTCAAAGTCAGCATTTCTGGGACAGTGTTTCACAGATGTGAACAGCAAAACAGAAGCCAGCAGTGCCCAGTATGGTGGGAGGCTGAAGGTGGTTAAATGCCGAGAATCAAGACCATTTCCCATCAAGTAAACTGCTGAAATGTTCCCATGTATTCGGTTTCTTGCTATCAACGGTGCTTGGGAACAGTGTCCTAACTTTCTCTCACTTTCATGAAATAATAATATTTCCAATTGAATTAATGTATCATCATTTAGATGAGAAGATTAAAATTGTGGTAAGTGAATTTGTATTTTTTTTATTTGAAGAGTTATTATGAAAATTGTTGGACGTGGTGCTTAGTGACATGGTTTATTGGATGACATTGGTGGTAGTGGTATGGTTGGGCCAGATGGTCTTGAAGGTCTTTTTCAACCTTAATGATTCTATGATTCTCTGAAAATAATTATCCTGTGTCAGTGTGGTTGATTTCTTAGAATATGGTGTGGGAATTAACACTGAAGATATCCTGAGATCATCAGGAGAAAATGTAATTATCCCGGATATGTTTTCTCCCTTGACTGCAGTGGGGGAGAACTCAACTTGCACTTTTGACAAAAACCTTTTTACATTAGAATATCAAGATTCTTGTGGGTAGATGCTGGGTATGTGGTGAAAGCCTACTTCTTGTGGCTTACATTTTAAGTACAATCTACTTTCTTCTTTTTTAGTTATTGCTTCATTCTTGGGACAGAAATAATAATTGTAATTTCTCCTCTCTTCTTTAGGTTAATATCAAATACTGGCCTTAGATTTTTACCTGTTGTCCAGAAGGTGCACTCCTTCCAGAAAGTTTTACTGTAAGTTGTAATGCTTTTAAAAGCTCCTTTTGAACATTTTGCTGTTCTAACAAAATCTTTCAAGATGTGATTGCCCTTATGCTTGCCTATTAGCTTCATGATAGCATTTTGGGTTGCAATTTTGTAGGCATTGATGTTAATGTCACCTAAAAGGTCTCAGTATTCTCTAGTTCTCCTTTCTATCAAGCATTGTAGCTTGCAGTCTACTGACTACTCTTCCATTAACTACATTATAAATGCACAGCCAGATGTCTCAGGGGACTAGTAGTCCCCTGAGTTCTGTTTTAGTGGTTGAAATTCAAGCCAGGCTGTTGGAAGTGGAAATTTGTTGCCATCTGGTGACAATTCTCTAGCCTGCATAGAAGGAGTTGCTGATCTTGGTGCCATTTTCAGTAGACAGATGGCCACAACAAAGAAAACAAAAAACAAGGGAAAATAACTCTACTGTGCTCATTTTTTTCACTGGTAATAAAACTGTCCAGGGAATAAATTATATTTTTCTAAGAAAATTTCCAGTGCCAACAGGGGGATAAAAATGTAAAATTTTGTGTGAAAGCAGGCTTTTTTTTTGTAAAAGCACTTTTCTGGAAAAAAAATGTATATATCAAAATTCGAGGGTTTTGATGGAAAAATATCTTGACAGAAATTTTCCCATCAGTTCTGAGTATAACTGAATGCAGAAAACCTGAGAAACAGGCAAATATTTATTCTCTTCTTTTGAACAAGATATATTACTGGTGCATAGGACAAGTTTTGAATCTTCAAGTCCCTGATTAGAAGATTAAAATCTGCAGAAACATGAATCATGCAATTGTCTTAGTAAGAGCCATCAATATAAATAAAAATGCATAGAAAGCATACAGGAAGACACTTGAATATTGTATACCCATATAATATACAAAATACATTTCTGTAATACACTTGTAACTTTGAGAACTGCCCTTCAGGGCTCCTTGAAACCATCAAGAAAATACAATAGGTGTGGAGCTACAGAAACTTCCTCCCGCATACCTTTATCATCAGTCTTAACTAGACTTGAATTACCATGTTCTGCTGAGAAAGAGATATTTTCTTCAGGTGAAATTCCTTACTTTCTGTAAGAATAACTAGGCCTTGACATTGCTTAAGACCTGAAATAGACCTTAGTTCAAACCCCACTGAGGTCAATAAGAAAATTCTTGCTGGCTTCAGTTGCACCAATATTGAAATCTCAAAGATAGATCTTAACGGGTTATTGAGGTTTATAAGGGCCTCATTGTTTCCCCATAGCAGTAGGAAACTTTTGCTTCTATGGCTGCTGCACTCCCTCCCTATTCCTACCTCTGCTGATCTCAATGTGCAGAAGTGTGGAAGTGTCAGCTAATGCAGTGTTGTGAATGGTAACACAGTTGTGGTTAAATAACTGTCAGTGCGAGATAATTTTGGAATGGCTTTTAACTTCAAGCTTTGCAGATAATTCATTTTGTTCCATGCTTTCCAACAGAAACAGCATGAAAACAACCATATCCCCAGTCTAAATTATGAGTAATACTGTTTAACTTCTTTGAGGTCTATTTTGAGCAAGCAACAGAATGTATATCTGCCGTTCTTTTTGTGCATCAGTCAAAACTGCTGAAAGACTGAAATGCATACTTGTCACTTCAACAAACTGAACTGACAGGGGTCCCATGTCTGAAGTTCTTAAGCACATACAAAAGCTTATAATCAAACACATTGACATTAGGAGGGAAACTATTCATGGAACTATATTCATTTAGGTACCCTGCTGAATCAGGCCAAAAAGGCTAATGGATTTTCCATCTTCTGTTTGGGAGGCTCAGAGAAGTGGTGGCCTCCCAACCACTCAACTTGCATTTTCTGAGTAGTGTATTTTCTGGAGGAACTATTCCATCCACATTAGGGTTATGAGACCAAGGTTCTTTGCATTCTAATGGCTTAAACCATTCTGGGAGGCAGGTATGGGGATGTGAAGAACAAGAATATAGAAATGCTTTGCCTTTACCTTTTTCTGTCAGAAAGGTTTGCTCTCTTAAAAACTCAAGTCATCAGCCTTTGCATAAAACAGTTCCTCAGATTGAATATAAGAAAAAATACCATGTTTGAAATATCTTTGCATATTGAGAGGCTTGCAGACGTGCAAAGAGGTGTACTTTATATTGTATTTTATTTTTCAGAGATATTCAAGACAATATCAATATACGTACAATTGAAAGAAATTCATTCATGGGCCTGAGTTCTGAAAGTGTGATTCTGTGAGTAAGACATAACAAACCCATTCTTCTTCTTTCTAGCTTGTTCCTTCTTCAGAAATGGGTTGAGAGGATGGTCTCTTTTCTATCAGCTTCCAAATTCAATTACAGGTTTTAGACTTCTCCTCTACCTCCAAAATCTCTGTATTCTGCTTTACTGTCATGAAAAATGAATGCTTTTGTGGTTTTTGTTGTATTCTAATTCTGGCCCTAATTTTAGAACCACAGTGTAGAATGAATTTTGTAATTACTGGTGCCAAGGTTAAATGTATTCCACCTACAACAACAACTCATGTGGTACAAATTGTGTTCAAAAGGATGGTGTGACTCATAAATATTTACAGTCAGACACATCATTCAAAGAAGTTTGTTACTCGGGCAAAATATATGTAGATGTTTTGGAAATATGGTATATTTGTATACAGAGTTAATGCATTGATACAGGCCAGTTCACTATGCAGTTTCATGCTGTGTGGTTAGATGTCTTTTTGTTTGATTTGAACGGTCATGTTTTTTAATAAACTACTTAGCTTCTTTGATCCTTTCTGTTAGTATATCAAAATGCATTGTGTGCTTAATAACAAGCTGCCTTAATTTTGCCTAGTCAGAGTGGAAAAATTTCCCAGTGTGTGTGCCATTTACCTCTCATACCAAAACAGACAAGCAAGAACTGATTGATTTGGTTCGCATTGATTTTGGTAGGACACAGTCAGGCCACCAATACTTGAAGAGAGGACAGTAAAAAGTCACTTGACTGTTACCTCTCCTTTTTCCCTATCAGTTGTCCACAATCTGTATGTCAAGTTCCCTGAAGTTTTTAAACAGACAGACACAAACACACATACACAGAGCTGAGATATACATTCAGTTAACTCAAACATATTCAAGTAACAATACCCCAAATGTACTTATTTATCTTTTCTCCTCTGATAATAGTATTTGCTAACCACATAAGACTTGGTTTTGTCAGACCACTGCATAGCACATACCTTATTTATTTCCATAATACTACTATGGGGTGAGATATACATGTCAGAGTTTAGTGGGATTTGATATCCCAATACCACTCAAGCATTCCAAACACCCAGGACCCACTGAACCTCCACAGTGTGGGGAGAGCCAGTTTTACTAGGTTTACTGTAGCAGGCTCCCAGCATGTTCAAGCCAGTAATTTGGATTACATCTAAGTTTACCCTATGCAGGGATCAATACAGAGCAGGTGAATTTTAAGGGGGTTTTAAATATAGTGATCTAGCCCATATGTCCAAGCTCTGGATCTGTGCCTCCATTGTCACTTGTTGCTATCATAAGACTTCCAGTTTATTCAGGGGAGTCAGTAAGGATGCTGGTTGAAGTGAGGAGAGAATTTGTCTCAATAGAAGCTTGCCCAGGTAACAATGGAGAAAGAACTACAATGAAGCCTTGGGATTTAGTTAAAATTTTGTTTTTTCTTTTTACTGCTTGAATGCAATTTACCAGGTGACAGGAGTCCACACTGCATGGCAACAGTAATTCAGATTTTATGTCCTTAGTATCTCATTGTATTAGCATAATATTCAGTGAGAGAAAACAGTAAGAGCTAATCCTGTGATTAAATGCATCTATATCAGCTTGGCAGCTATGAATGGATAAGACCAATGTAATGTAATAAATGTTTTAAATGCTATAAGCAGGGACATGTCTCTCCTGTGTGCCTGCTCAGTCATGTCTAATAGTGTATGCAAGCGAAGGGGACAGTGACAGTTTTCTTGATCTGACCTGACAGACACTGGAATTATGCACATCTGCCTTCCATGGTCAAAAGAGTAATCCTTTCAACCAGACCCATAACTGATTTTCATGATGACCTGAGCTCACCACCTCAGACCTCAGATAAGTGGGTCACTTGCATGCTCAGTTTTCAGTGTGAATTAGAAACCCTACATCCGTGTTTGCTGATAGTTTTATTAAATCATGCCAGTTTTGCCACCTATCAAACTTGTCATGCCCTGTTGGAAAGAGCATGAGTTGCAAAGCAACAAGATGAAAGATTGCACTGTAAAGATGATAAATATAACTAACTCAAGTGTAAATTTTCAGGACCATGAAGGGAAGAGATGGAAAGACATTAAACATTAATTACTTAATGCACTTCAGTAAAAACTTGGCAGAAAGCCCTCCCAGTTCACTACCTGTGTCTTCTCTCAGGAGAAGGATCCTGGGGAGATGGGGAGCAGGAAGGCAATATAATTTGAAGAGACAGCAGGTGCAGGAAGAACCAGGCAGTTTGTTACTAGCCTCATCCTTTTTTACTTCCTGGGTCTTTTTGTTGTTGTTGTTGTTGTTGTTGTTGTTTTGTTTTGTTTTTTTGTTTTGTTTTGTTTTGTTTGTTTGTTTTTGTTGCTTTTTTTTTTGTTAGTTTGATTGCTTTGTTTTGATTTGGTTTTGGTTTTGTTGTTTTTGTGTTTTGTTGTTATTTGGTTGGTTGGTTTTTGTTTTGGTTTGATTTTTTTTTTTTTTGGTAATTATAGGCAAAGGTTAAGCTATTTCAAAAGCATCTTGAAAAAAAGCATCTTGTAGATGGCACCAACAGCACCAGAAAGGTTCTGGTCTCACCCATTCTGGGATTAACCTGGACCAGCTTTGTTAGATTCACTGAAGGCTTTCCAGGGCAGCAGAGCAGCACCAGTGTCTTAATCAGTTCTACTTATGTTTCAGAAACTTACTGTAGCTGTCATCTCTTACGGTAATGCTGAGCTTCCCTGTTCATAGCTGTATCTAAATCCTTCCTGTAACTATTGGGAGCTTATCAGCTGGGATTCATAGAAATATCATAATTTAAGCATTTATTTAATAATTTTACTTGTTTGAGATCCTTTTCACTGATTTTAATTACATGCATATAAATTGTGAACATGTATAAGAACATTTTTTATTTCTCTGTTGCAGATGGCTAAATAAAAATGGGATTCAGGAAATTGAGAATCATGCATTTAACGGAACATACCTGGATGAGCTGTAACTATTTCTGTTGTTTACTATTCTGAAAATAAATTATTAGAAGGTAGCTATTTCTGCAAGGTATTTTTTTTTTTATTTCAGATTGTTTTAGCATCAATATTGTGTTTTTCAGAAACCTAAGTGACAATCAAAACTTAGAAAAATTACCAAATGATGTCTTCCAAGGAGCCAACGGGCCTGTTGTTTTGTAAGTAATATTCAGATTTTACTTTTGTTTGTTTTTTTGTTTGTTTGTTTGTTTGTTCCTTTTTCTCATCATTAAGCCCCCAGAAAAGGTCAAAGAAGAACATATGAATACAACACAACTCCTCACAACTCCTGCAATTCAAAATTGGAGGTGTAGTTCTGAATATAAAAAACTGGAAGCCAAGTCACTCTAGATCCATGTTTTCACTCTTTCCTCGGGGTTTTTGGAGTATTTGCATCCAGGGATTTATATCCAGATTCACCACACAGTGAATCACCATAACAGTGTATTAGCTGAGTTAGTTCTCAGTGCCTAAATCTGAATTGCTCCCCCTTGAACTATTTAAAACCAGTGAAGATCTGCCCTGCATCTTTAAAGCTTAGTCCTAAAGATAAAATCCCTACCCTGCAGGGACAGGGATCCCTATATATACATATATAGGGATATATATATATATACACGCATATATATATTACACATATATATCACACAGTTACAGCAGGATCTCTTTGGTGGGTGGTAGGCTGGAAAGCAAGATCTCAGCAATAGGGAGTTCAACAATAAGATGCTCACATCTATCAGTCATCAGCACCTCATGCTACACTTTGACAAGTTGTAAAACACCTGTGAGTGTGCACAACTTCTTGTGAGCATCAGCCACAGAACATAACAGTTGCAGCAAAGACAATGATGTCTTTTTTTGTGTCACAAATTCATTGACTCTTTTCTTTCTTCCCATTTTTTCTGGACGTCCAGAGAAAGCTAGGAGTCACCCAGAAAAGGTGAAAGCAGGTATTGGGAGCTGCTGGAAGATTTTACACAGAGATTAAAGTGGTTAGAAATCTAAAAAAATGAGAGGAGAAAGTGGCTAGTTAACTTTGAGTTCAGATAAAAGCACTCCTGAAGGCCTTTTTACATGTTGTTATGACACACCTATGCTACACCAATGATAGAAAGAGCTAACCTATGGGTTACTGCATTCTTCCCTGTTACCATCACTCCTTCAGTGACTTTCTCCTTTGGAAAAGACTAGCAGTGGAGTATCTTTTCAGCATCTTTTCAGCAATAACATCATTGATGTTTCTTTGGAAAAGCATTGTTTCCTGTAGCAAAGAGTAAATGCATTTTCTTTGCAAGTTGTAGCTGATTCACAAGGTTTATCAAATAGATTTGTCTGTAGTTCAGACTCATTTGATAGTTCAATTTCTAACACCAAGTTATTTGTGCAAGAAGTTTTCTATTCCATTACTTGTATATCCACTGTTCTATGGATGGGAAATTACCTTTTTATCCTGACTGAGATCAAGAAAGCTACATCTGTCACTATAGCTTACACCTTGAATGTGCTTTGTGGAAATGATTGACCCATAATAATATCTTTGCTGGGAAAAACAGTGCTGTTGAAATAAAATTTGTGTTGCAAATTGCAATGTTTTATTAGACTGAATGTCAGGATGTTTTAACTCTTGTTCTTCCTGAACCAGTGCTCTACAGTCAATTAATAACAACTCCTATTTTATATTTCAGAATATTGAAACAGCATGAAAGATAGACAAACACAAATAGTAATGTCAGAAAGCACAAGCCTTAGCACCTTGTCTGCTTTATACTTGGCTGCACAATTTCAGCAATCAATTCCTTTTGGAAAGACATCAAGTTTTGAGCTGCAGAATTTCAGTACTGACAGTAAGCAAGTAAATCAAATGGCTAATTAATCCCACACATATACACATTCTTTCTATACAGAAATACTCTTTATTGCTAACTTGAAATTTTGTAGCTTCACTTTTCATCCACATTGTTTCGTTTAGTCTTTTCCTGGTGCTCCCATAGCTGTAGTGGCCTACATGAGCTTTTACTGGAGACCCTACACAACTCTTCATTCCACAAGCATTAAGATCATTTTGGGAGTACCAGCAAATTGAAGGAAGCTGTAGGAAGCCTCACAGATTCCCCCTCTCTATAAATATAATTCAGCTGCTTAATGAGGGTCCATTCTGGGCTGAGTTCTCTGGCTGCATCCTGCCTCAGAGACAGGGCAAGGTATGTCTGTGGTCTGTCCTGTCCTTGCAATTCGTTTTTAACAGAAAACCCACATATGTTGGCCATGGGAGAGCTCCAGTAGATCCCCGGCTAGACAGCTGAATCCCTGAAGCACAGCCAGAGAGTAGTTTAGATACAACTGCTGAGAAAATTGGTCTCACTGATCACTCCTCTCTGATGTCTGTTCTGCCAGCCACATCTTGCTCTCTTGCTATGTTCCTTTCAGACCTAAACAGGACTATCAGCTGGTCAGTATTTTGACTAATCCCAGTAACTGATTCCCAGAGGGAAAGGGACGTGTTTGTAAGAAAAGTCAGATTCATTTCACTGTTCCTGCACCGGCTGCTGTCAAAGGTGATGACTAGCAGCCAAGCATTAATAATATGACGTATTCCTGTCACTGATGCTTTCTGGTTTGATTTCTTCTGCTATTTTATCTTCTAGTTCATCTTGCTTATTTAATTTACCATTCCTGTAACTAGGAAAACATCCCAAAGAAACTCTGCGCTGAGTTCTGCTTCTGCTCCATGATGATTCAGTGGATAAAGCAACCAAACTACATACACAACATCTGTGTTTCTGTTTGGGCGGGTGGGGGGGGGGGTAGTCTGCTGATGGTGTATCGATAACTATCCCTAACAGGCATCCCAGCAAGCCCTGCAGTAGTTTACAAAGCACTTTCCTCAGCTCACTTTGGTTTATGGACAATAATGAACAAAAAAAAAAAAAAAAAAAAAAAAAAAAAAAAAAAAAAAACTTTTTAAAAGAAGAATTTTCATGGGAAAATATTGAATATTTATGAAATTGTTTAGATATGGCCAGAGACCCAGTAATATTTTAGCTGCTGGAATATCCAGGTGATATTCCTATTCATATTTACTTGTTACTTCTATGCAGTATAATAACAGTTTGGAGGTACTGAAGATTTCTGGCTAATGAGACTAGGAAAACATTTTTGATTCTTGTTCAGAATTATGAACCCTTGTGAAGTTCTGTAGGCTCTTATTGATGTCATGAGTGATACTGTCTGTGGATTTAAATAGAAAGCTGCTTTTGGTGAATAATGAACATGTTCTCTAGGTGACAGTTTTCATTAGGCAGTGAACTAAGGACAATAGTCAGTCAATGAAACAACTGAGATTGTTCACTGCAACCCAATTACTACTTTAGGTGTCTAAGTCAGAAATCAAAAGCCTAAAATTTCTCTTCAGCTGCTCCTGTGAGACACAGATCAGTCCTAAAAGAACCTCAGGACCAAACCTTGGCTTCTCTCAGCCTGACCTGCAGAAGTATTTCTGCTTCCACCAGCCCATCTTGTCCTTGTTCACAGAAGTTATGACCCTAGGTCAGTGCAGCAGCATGTGGTCCATCTTCATTCCTTTGCTTCCACAATTCACTGTCCAGTTGGCAACTGAAGCTGCCAGCAAGCTACAGGTGTTAATACCCCAATACGAAAATGGGCATACCAGTGGGGCAGGCACAGACTGCCTTCTGAAGGTGTTACCTGAAGGTGGGACATTCTTTCAGAGCCTGGATCCAAACCCTCCAGCTGTGGGCACAGTATCGACACAAAGATCCTCTTTACCCGCAGCCAGTAACTGCTTTATTAGATGAATATAAATTTCTTAGATGTGACCACCCTACCCTACAGACAGAGTCAAAACAGAGACATTTTCTGGTATTAATTCTGGTTTTCAGAGAGGAGAAGAGGTGCAAATGTGCATGTTGTACATAGAGAGGGTCTGAACTTCACTGTACGCTGCCAAAACTTTGTCTCCCCTTCAAGTAGCACCACTCTACTGCATTAATATGGTAATAAAAGCAATTTGTGCCTGTTATGTAATAGAGATAAAATAACATGTTGTCCTGACATCGTACTGTTATAGATTAATGTACCTTGGGAGGGGAGGCATGGAGAAAATGACAAATATTGTCAGTTCTATTCCCTTGTTAGGGGGAATTTTTTTCTTTTGTGAGAGAATAAAGAAGAGCACCCTCAGCAAACATTGCATTCTGCATTACTCTCATGCCATAAGAGCATGGGAGCTAAGGGAGGACAGGGTGGTTTTTATGTAGTCCATTTCACTGTTGATCTAAGAGAAAGAAGTATGCACTTCTGCTGTTGCAAGCTGAGGGACACCGTCTGTTCCTAGCCAAGGAAATATGTGGATGTTTTGCCCCAGCTGTTACACCCTGGAGCCATGGAGACAGGTTCTGTGGAGATGGAGCATCGCTAGTCCTTCTTCCCTTTCCCTACCTGTGTAGCGCAAGTCATGAATTAGTGTTTGCATAATGTTTTTCCCCCTGAAAGCCTCACTGATGCTCTCTGTGATATGTTTGTAGCTGCTGCTTCCATTGCTGCCTTTGATAGCCCATCCCACACAATAATTGCCTTCCACATAAATGCACCTCTCCTAACCTCCTGTAATCTTACCCCTTCCTTTGCTTCAGTCTGTATTCTTTGGTTTTTAAAGCTCTGGAAATATTTCAATATTTTTGTTCTTCAAAGTTTGAACTACTTCACTTCTGTCTCTCTTTAGTCTCTTTTCCTTCTTAATGAGCACAAAATCTGGTATCCTCAACATCTCCTCACATCTGTAACCTCCCATGAGATTCTCTCTTTGTGTTTATTGCCTTTTCCATGGTAGGCTTTGCATGATGTGATGTTCATGAGGAACATCACAAAATTCTCTTGTGATTTCATCAATCTACTTCATCAATCTTTTTATTTATTTATTTATTTATTCCACCTGTAACAGCATTCTTGGATGAATAGTGTGTTTCTTTTGGTATTTACTAAACCTAGAATCATATGGATCTAATAGTTTATGTCACTGCTAATCTTTACCCAGAGGGTTGTGGGATCTTTTTCTTTTTTCTCAAATCAGACTAACTTCACTTGATTGTTGTTTGCAATTAATATTATTTAATGTTTCATTGAGAAACTATTAATTTATCACCTGATCCTGTTTTCAGCACAAATTTCCAGCTGATCTCTTTTTAATCAGTACTCTGATACTGACTAGGACAGTTTAAAACACATATCTACTGTAGAGCTGAAGTAAATTTGCTTTTTATCATAATTTTCATATGTTTTTTTAAAGGGATATTTCCAGGACAAAAATCAGTTTCCTGCCAGGTCACGGATTAGAACTCATTAAGAAGCTAAGAGCAAGGTCTACATATAATTTAAAAAAACTTCCTGATTTAAGCAAATTTAGATCATTGATTGAGGCAAATTTCACCTATCCTAGCCATTGCTGTGCATTTACAAACTGGAAAAGACAAAAGTAAGTGATTTCATTTGTTTCTCTTTTTGATGCTTCTCAGACATTGATAGTGAATTAAACAAACTTCTTCAAAATCTGGATATAAATAAACATATAATACATACATGTTTATTCATGTTACACAGTGTACTGCCTCTCCATTCCAGGTTGGTAATAAATTTTGATAGTTGTACTAGCATCGCTATTATCTCCAGCTAAGACTCTAGACCACATTCGTCATAGGGTCATCTCTCACTGGGACCTGCTGTCCTGGATCAGCCTGGAGCCACACTGAAGATATCCGACAAGAAACATGATGATAACTTTTCAGGAGGTAACTGGAAGGATATTTGTGTTTCCAGAGAAGCTGGTAAATACCTTGCCACCAATTCACATGGGTGACAGAACTACGGAGTGGTGTTAACCTCTTAACCTCAGGAAGCCACACTGATGTTGGAACCAAATAGAACAGAAGAGAACAAAACAGAACAGTTCAGTTGGAAGGGACTTACAAAATCATTAAGTCCAACCACCTGACCACTTCAGGGCTAATCAAAACTTAAAGCATATTAATGAGGGTGTTGTCCAAATGCCTCTTGAGCACTGACAGGCACAGGGCATCAACTATCTCACTGGTGTTTGAGCTCTCTCACAGTAAAGACATGTTTCCTAATATCCAGTTGAACCTCCTCTGGTGCAGCTTTGTACCATTCCCATGTGTCCTATCATTGGTTACCAGGGAAAAAAGACCAGCATCTTCCCCTCTATTTCCCCTCCACAGGAAGTAGTAGAGAGATGTCACCTCTTAGCCTCCATTTCTCCAGACTAGACAATACAAGAGTCCTCAGCCTCTACTCATAGGACGTGCCTTCCAGCCCTTTTACTGGTATTGTCCTCCTCTGGATGCTTTCAAGTATCTTAACATCCTTTTTATATTGTGGATCCCAAAACTGCACACTATATTCAAGGTGAGGCCTCACCAATGCCAAATATAGTGGGAGAATCACCTCTGCCACAGGTACTTCATCTGTCACATCTGCATACACATGATTTTTGGACATAATTTCTGAAATGGTTGAGCTAGAGCAATCCCCTTAAACTCAAATTCACTGGGTCAGGGAGGTCTTTGTAGACTCCCAAACTAATTTTCAGTACTTGTTTTATTTTGCCATCATCAAGACGAACTGAGACTTCAGGTATGAAGTGACTCACATTGAGTATTTTCAGCTGCTCAGATAAACCTTAAATGTTACATGTGATCTAATGAACCTCATGAATTTGCGCCACTGGAAAACCTGAAAGATTGGTTCCTGTGGGAACATGTTATTGTTTGTAATTCTTCTTTTACTGGAAGTCCTCAAAAACTTGGAAATTGCCATGGCAGAAAAAAAAAAAAAAAAATATGGATCATTGTTATAATTCAAGACATTGTCTTCAGAACATGCCTAAAATTTCAAAGAAAAGTAAAACCATGCATAAAAAAGTACAAACTATTTGTAAATTTCATTTAGATACTTATAATAGCCATTTATTTTACTTTTAGCAGTGTATTGTCACCTGGCAATGAAAGATGCCTGGTCCTGCTATGCTGGTAGCTAGAACATATCACCTATATGTGTGTTGCAAAACTAAATTGGAAAAGTGCAAGTTTGATATTGGACACTACAGTGGTAAGGAAAGTACCTGGCAGAATCCATCCCTCATTGCCAGTTTCTGATCCAAAATTCTAAACTTTTTGCTGCAAGTGGTTATCAGCAGGTGATATTTTCACATATTTCTACAGGCTTACTCAGGCACAGTGCTTGGTTGCCTGCTAATTAGAAATGGTTCCAGTCCTTCCAGTGCTGGTGGCAGAGTGGTATTTCCCAATGAGTTCAGAGGAAGCATGTTTAGTTCTAAAAAGCTAAATCAGCAAAGGGATTTTGATGTCACTTTATCATACATATTTTTGAAGGTACTTGACTTCTGGACTGCCTGAGCCAAATCAAGACCCAAATCCTAGAATCCACACTGGAAAGTAGGCAACAGGGCTTTTTAAAATCAGGTTAAGAGTTACTGATGAAGGAAGGCAACAGGAGAAGATGGCACTGAGCTTTTAGTAAGCTCTCAGCATCCCCTCCCTCTGAATAACTTTTGTGCCACAATTACCCAGGGGAATTGAAGCCCACAGCACTCACTTCCCCCATAGTACAGCTCCAATTTGGGGCATCTCTACCCTGGCAAGTAAGAAACCAAGGAGGATACTGACAGCCCTTCCCAAAACCTGGGTGAGTGTAATTTTGCAAAGAAATGCCAATGAACTGAGCAGCACTCAAAAGACAAGTGCAGATGGCCAGTGAGTTGGCCAATCTATTTTAAATGAATGAAAAGTCCTTCAAACAGCAGAAGAAAATGACTTAAGATCATTTTTTTGTAGAGTTAGTAAAACTGAATTTTTAAGGTGCATTAAAAACCTTTTTGTTTTTTTCTACAGTACCTTTTTGTTTTTTGCTATACTTAAAATATTGAAAAGGATGTTAATTTCTGATTTTAAAAGCTAAACACACTTTTGAAAGAATAGCTATTCTTTAGTTGCAGAGACTTTTTTCCATTTCACTTTATTCTAGTAATTTAATTCAAAGAATATTCCACTTAATTGTAGCTGACAAGGCAAGAAGGCTTTTGTTTATTATAAAGTAGGTGTAGAAGAGGAGCAACGCATTGAAATCTAGAAGGACAAGGGATCAAGAAACAAACTGTGTCTATCTCTGTCTATCATTATGAACTCCTGTGTTAAATAAATACATCTAGATAAACCATTTTCTGTATACAGTACATTCAAGATAGTTTTGTTTCACTGTTAAAACAACCAATTCCTGGTTTCCCATATTTAAATATTAGTTAAGTTTTCAGCCAACTAGACTAGGACAAGAATCATTAGGAATATAGCATTCATTGTCCTGTAAAAGAAATGCATCACTGCTGGGTAAAAAATATAAAAATTCAGACTTGAGATCTGTATATGCTCTGATATATGATTATATGAATAAACATATACATATCAACTGTATCTCCCTGATCAACAGAACAAATTGAATTCATTTTTCTATGGTTTTAATGGTTGCCAGAATTATCTTTTAAAAATACTAGGCGTAAATACAGAATTATTTAGATCATTTTTTTTCCTGTTAACTTCATTTAAATGCAATTAAAAATGGTCATTTAATTCATACAGTCGTGTCGTGTACTGAAATTGGTGGGAGACCAATATCCTCTCTCCGGTTTAAAGAGAGAATATGTGTGCAAGTTAGTTCAGTGCTGTGAGTCTGAATATGATAGGTATTCCCATGCACTTCAGCAGAGGTTAGTCACATCTGCAGCAGCTACATCCACTTGCATTTCAAAGCAGTTTTCTTGACAAGATGTGTGTGCATTCAAGACTGCTCAGGATTTTGAAGAGCTATTAATAGTCTGCAATGTTTGCTCACACAACATCTAGTATTCCTTTGGCAAGAGCTGCATTTGGTTTAGTGCAGCAGACATTTCTTACTCTGGTGGGAACAGTGATGTTACCTGACTTGCTGTGCATCTTCACAGGAGCCACACATTCCTCTATAACAGTTTAGATCTCAAAATATTTCCAGGTAGTCCAGGAAGTATAAGAAGGATGCCTCATTATACTGTAAGTGCATTTCTAAGGATCACTGAAGCATTTGATGCTCATGTGGGAAATCTCAGAAGGAATTAAGTCAGGGGTGTGTGGCCCCTTTCTGGCTGCCCCATTTGCCCCAGATCAAAGATTACCTATCTTTGATATTTCTCTAGCACTTAAGAACCTTAGATAAAATAAATCACCGTAGTAGATAGTGATCACCTCTCCTAAACACATTTGCACCAGCTCTGTTGTGCTAGTGGAAATGTTAAACCTGTTATAGAGGCAGTGCCTTCTACATTTTGGAGGATGTCCCATCAAGCACAGACCTGCCAGACTGAGACACAAATTAAAATGTTGGCAGTTTTGATTATTTTCTTCCCTATTCTAAGAAGGATTTTATGATAAATATTGATCTGAAGATTTATTACACCGGAATATTGTGATGGTGGCCTCACAGGAGCTAACCTGCTTTTTAGGACAAGTCCAGTGAAGTGTGTTGAACTCTCACATTCTCCTGTGACTGGAAAATAATATCTTTCAAGCTCAGATAGGGTAGAAGCTGAATGTTAAAACCCTCAACTTGACATAGACCATTATATAATCCCACAGGCTTTCCTTGATATAAAGATCACCTTCTGCTTAAATATCTGCATCATTATTACTGTCCTTACACATGATCATTATTTTTTGGAGAAGCTATCACTTGAAAACCTATTTTTTAAAGAACATGGCACATAGAGTTGTGTTTGGGCCTTGTTTCATGAGAACGTAATACCAGTTGCTCCCTACTCACTTGATGTAATTTTTTGGTAAGGATGTTTGGTTCAAGATAGGGCCTAACACAGAACTCAGGTCTGGACTATTTATTCTGCTAATTACGTTTCTCAGCACACGAGATCCTGTTGTCACCAGATCCAGATGGAGTGCATGAAATAACTACTTGCACAAGGGTAGTTATACTTGTCAGAGTGCTTTGCCAATTTTAATGTTGCTTTTTAAGTTGTCCTTTCCCTGGTTTATTATTCAGAGTGTTTACTTGAGCAAAACAGTGTTAAACAGCAGCAGAGTGTTAAAAATAGTCTGAATAAATGAACTATTATAATGCTTGCCTTCTCAAAGGAAAGCAAGGCCCAACCTCTTGCCAAAAATGTTTTAAATTATTGTTCTGAGAGTACAAGGGGCAAATATCTCAGGACAGTCAGTACCAGATGATGGCTTTTCTTTCCCTTGGGAGTTTGCAACTGCCCGTCACTCTGCTTACCGTGCAAGGAAGCATCCGGGAGACTCCTCACTACCTATCCTCAGAACAAACATAGTGGCTAACTCTGTCTGATTTTGTTTGGGAGCTCTGGGTGTTAAATAATTCAGGAATGAATAAATAATAATAATTAGAAATATTTCATTGGCCTTACATAGCTGTCTTATCTGTTAGATGGATTTAACTCTAGGTAGTGCTTCCATAATTTAGGAAAATGTTTATTTTTAACTCATAGCTGGGAAGCAATTGGATGAAACCAGTTTTCTTCAGTTCATTTACAAAGAACTACTAATTGCAGTAGTTTTCAGTGTCCTCAAGTGCCTGTTACACTGAAAGCTGAGGGACTTTCTCATCCATTATTGCTCCCTGGAAGCATACACTCCCTCTCAGCTAGAGAACTGTTGATATATTGATCAATATGCTTGGCCCCTCACTCATCCTCACGCAGGCAGAACACAGGGGAGCAAAATGTAATGCCTTGTTATTGCTATTGTGACCTCCATAGTGCATATTTGACCTCACAGAAAATCGGCTTTCTGCCTCAGTTGACAGGCAAGATAAAAAATATTGATAATAGCAGAGGATGCTCGAAACCTCATAGGAAATGTTCCTCACCTTCTGGTGCTGGGCCTTCATTAGTTTTTCTTTCTTCCTTTTCAACTTGATTTTTGGAAGATGTAGTGAGTGCACAAAGTCAAAGGGTAAAATTGGGTTACAAAAAAAATAAGAATCCTCGCTTTTAATCTGCTACAAGTTGTTTAACCATTTCAACCTAGCTTGCCTAGGAAGCTGTCCTCTCAAGTGTACTGCAAATCAGGGTGGAAGATAACCTACGGTCCTGTCCTGGAACATAGACACCTAATTTGCTGTCTAAATGATAGATGAAAATAGGCAGAGCTGACCTGTGTTTATTTTGCAAAACACTGTCAACGGTTTTACTTGCTAACTCAAATTAAGTCTGGGTCCATCTTTATGCAATGTAATGGATGCAAGTTTCTGGGGCAGCAAACTTTAAACGAGGTCTAGGAGAAACTTATTCAAAGCTGACCCTTTATTTCTTGCTAACAGACCTTGATATTTGTTCACTTGATGGAGCTGAGCTTCTTAGCCAAAACACTTGTTTCTTCAGTTGGTCTGTACATGGAGAAGATGGGCTTGAGGTTAATCCTCTAGGAAACAAAGCTAAATACATACTGTTAAAATTAAAATAAAAATAATTATATATATATATATAAAAAAAAAGTTTTACCTTCAAAGTAATTTTTTCCTTGAGACTCTTTTCCTTTATTGACTTTTTTTTTTCCTACTAAAAATTCCCAACATATTTTGAAAGGCTTTCTGACAGAAACAAAAGCAACTATTGTTTCTACAGAAATGTTGATTTAGTTTGGCTTGGCTTGGTTTGTTTTGGTTTGGTTTTACTTGTTCACTTCACTTTACTTTTCTCAAAAAACATTTTTTAAGCAAAATATTCTACCATGTCTAGTGTTTGTATCTGTGATGGTATCTGGCTTTCAGAGACTATCTGGAAACCTTGTATGATCTCACTTATGTTATTTATTTACTTTAAAAGACAGTGACCAATATGATATGATATACTTCTTTAAATGAATTGCACAGACTGGAGCTGTTCTGTGCCATGAAGGAGTTTTGATAATGAATATGACACACTGACTGACAAAAACTTGGGGAAAAAGGAAATTTAAGAGTAGTAGTAATGAACAGTGGAGTAATTTTGATTATACAGACTCCTTATCTGCACAACTGAATTGTCTCATTCTTCAAAGTCCAGTCATATGTAGGAATTCATCATTATGTGTTTCCCCCATGCAGAATCACTTATCATTGTCAGGTTACGTGAGAAATTCAGTTGAAATAGTGGAAGCTTCTTACTGAATGTTTCTGTCCAGGTGGATATCATCATGATCGTTAGTAAGTCAAACATCAGGCTTTCCTTTCCCATATGTTTTATGTTTTAAATCTATCTACATTTTCGCATAATATTAGATAAATAGGCACTACTCTGCCTATTAATTTCAAGCTCCAGGGAAATCGATACAATCAGCTAACCCAAAAACTGATTTGTTATTGTAAACTTTATGATTCAGTGTTTGTTGTATGCCTCGTGCTATGTGCCTCAGTTTCCAACTCTTCTCTTTTTACAATTTCAGCACTGAATTACATCCAATATGTAGCATATCTCAGGCTAAGCAAGACCTTGATGAGCAACCTGGCAATAAGATACATAGACGATCTGCAGCTGAAGATTATATTTCCAACTATGCTATTGGTTTTGACCCTTCAGAGAATGAATTTGACTATGGTTTATGCAATGAAGTAGTTAACGTCGCTTGCTCACCTAAACCTGATGCTTTCAATCCATGTGAAGATATCATGGGTTACAACATTCTGAGAGTCCTGATATGGTTTATCAGCGTTTTAGCTATCACTGGGAACATTGTTGTTCTCATTATTTTAATAAGCAGTCAATACAAACTCACTGTACCTCGTTTTCTAATGTGCAATCTCGCATTCGCAGACCTCTGCATAGGTATCTATCTGTTGTTTATTGCATCTGTAGATATACAGACTAAAAGCCAGTATTACAACTATGCCATAGACTGGCAAACAGGGGCTGGATGCAATGCTGCAGGATTTTTTACAGTGTTTGCAAGTGAACTCTCAGTCTACACATTGACTGTGATAACTCTGGAAAGGTGGCATACTATCACCTATGCCATGCAACTGGACCGCAAGGTTCGATTTCGGCATGCTGTGATTATAATGATTTTTGGCTGGATGTTTGCTTTCACGGTGGCACTTCTTCCCATATTTGGTGTCAGCAGCTACATGAAGGTCAGCATATGTTTGCCCATGGACATTGAGACACCATTTTCTCAGGCTTATGTTATATTTCTTTTAGTGTTGAATGTACTCGCCTTTGTGATCATATGTGCCTGCTACATCTGCATCTACTTTACTGTAAGAAATCCTAACGTCATCTCTTCAAATAGTGACACCAAGATTGCCAAGCGCATGGCTATATTGATCTTCACAGACTTCCTCTGCATGGCGCCAATATCATTTTTTGCAATATCAGCCTCACTCAAGGTTCCTCTCATCACAGTGTCTAAATCCAAGATCCTCCTGGTTTTGTTTTACCCCATCAATTCCTGTGCCAACCCTTTCCTCTATGCCATTTTCACAAAGACTTTCCGCAGGGATTTCTTCATTCTGTTGAGCAAGTTTGGTTGCTGTGAAATGCAAGCCCAGATTTACAGAACAGACACTTCCTCATCTGCTCATAATTTCCACACAAGAAATGGTCATTATCCTCCCGCATCAAAAAACAGTGATGGGACTATTTATTCACTGGTTCCTCTAAATCACTTGAACTGAAATGCCTGCATGAATTTGTGTCTGAGGCAGTGTGATAATCACTTTCAACTGTGAATTTGAATAATGACTACAACATAACATGGAAACTTATTTTGATGGGAAAACATTTTTATTTCCTCTTTGCTTTTTTGTTCAATGAACAGTCTTCAGAGATGACACATGATCTTCATTAGTTCTTGAAGGACAAAGAACAAAACGGCAGTATATGTCAGAGTGTCCTTGTAGAATTGTCTCCAGAAATAAATGAGCTTATAAACGGGTATCTCATACTATACAGGCAGAGATTGCCTTCATTCTAGGAAGATGTTACCTGCTTACTGACAATCAAATAATGGTTATATGTAGTCAAAAGAAAAAAATATGTAGAATTATTTTTTTTGTCTGTGAAACATGTTATAGTAATGACTGATAATTATCTCTTTTCATTAATCATCATATCTCCTAAGGTTACAGGAGAAAGAAGTCCAGTCTTTACTGTTTTAAGCCCTCCTTCAGTACAAACTTACCAGGAATGAAAATATCTTCTGCTTCCATTTGTGTTTACCATAGCAGATGGGCTGATGCATCTCCAGCTAGGTTAACGTTAGCTGTCCCACACTGTGTGTACGTATTTTAATCTGCAAAAAAATATCACGTTGGGTAGGATTGTGTTGATCTAGACTGGTAGGCTCAAAGAAACAGATTTCACGTGAATTAATATCAAGGAGATTAGTTTGATTTGGGTTTTGTTTCCAAGACAAGAAAGAGAGGAACAAAAGAAGAAGAAATCCTTCATAACAAGGAGGATGCTTCCTCAAGTTGATTTCACAAAGTTATGTTGAAATAGCTTTTCTGGAGTTGGACCCCTTGGTTATTTGGACCCCTTGGCTATGTGGGTTGTTCTAATATGATTCCTTGAGCTATGTCAGGGTCATTGTCTCCAGATGCATCCTTTTGGCTTATGAATATTTGAACAAAAGCTTTTATGATACCCTGAACGTACTCTTTCTCCTTCCCTTATAAATAATGGTTCATGTGCAGCTTATAAGATGAGGCTCCTGACTGAAAGATGTGAAAGGCATAAGCTGCATATGTTGAAACAAGAGGGGAAAAAAAAAATCAAGATTTCCAGATTTTACAGATGTTTTGAATAACATCTGAATCTGAGTGCAATCTTTTTGCAAGGCTTAAAAATGAAATGGTTTACAGGTTAATCATTCCGAAATACATTGAGTATTTAGAGTTGGGTTGTGTTTTCTCTTGGTGACTATGCATCTATGTGAAGATATGGAGACATAAAAAAGCAAAGAAATAATCAAAAAAAACATGAGGGCAGGAGTCTGAACTTCATTTCCACCTCACAGACAATTCACTTTTTTGCCCCATGATATTAAAAATCTTTGGAGTCTTCATGGGTTAATATGATGAGTTTTGAATATTTCCTGTTTATAACTCCTAACATTTCAGCAGCTGTTTTTCATGTTTCCATTCATAATTTCTCCTGTCATCAGCTTTGCATGTCAGCACCTGAACCTGATGTGAATAACTACAGGAGATGATTGAGTCCTAGCTGGGAAAGGAGGTATTAGCATAAAATTAGCATAAAACAGGGGAAAACAAAGATGGGGGGATGGGGGAGAGAGGGTTGGAATTTTCATTACTTGACGTGGGTAACACTTCCTCCAAGATCCAGGAGGAGGAAGAATGGAAGAGCTAAACCACAAAGACTGTCCATCTCTGGGAAGCCCTTCTGAGTACTCAGAGGAATCATTTCTTCACAAACACTTTATGTCATACACAGTGTAGTTGTATGCAGTCATTAAAACCCATCCTAATGTGTTTTAAGGGAATTGGTGAAGTCCCCATTCCTGGAGATATTTAAGAGATATGTGGACATAGCATTAGGGGGCATGGTTTAGTGATGTGACTCGGTAGATCTGGACTTGATGATCTTGAAGGTCTTTTCCAATTTAAATGATTCTATGGTTTGATGATGTTTCAAAATGCTAAGTAGTCTAGTTGCATTCAGAAAAAGCTCCTGAATCTATTCTTGGTCAAAAAATAGGGGTATTCTTTGGCAACTGCTAGACCATTTTTGTTGATAAATAGGACAAATTTATGCAGTGTGTCACATGTTTGCCTGGCCCTGACCATTTTCAAAGGCAGCAGAATGAGACCTCAAAAACCTTGAAAGGCAGTCATTCTGGATTTCCCTGTGACTGTTTCACACAACATTTAAACAATAAGCTCTTCTTTCCACGGGGCACAGTCCCTGGTGTTTGTGAACTTCACTCAACAAATAGCTTATTGTGATCAGTATTACTGCCCTCAGGATCAAGCACAACTTCCCCTGACTGAGCATAGAAGAATAAGGAGCTTTTTGTGTTCGGTCATGTAGTATTGGGTCAAAAGGCAAAGCCTAGAAGGAGGAGGGAAGGGAAGGGAAGGGAAGGGAAGGGAAGGGAAGGGAAGGGAAGGGAAGGGAAGGGAAGGGAAGGGAAGGGAAGGGAAGGGAAGGGAAGGGAAGGGAAGGGAAGGGAAGGGAAGGGAAGGGAAGGGAAGGGAAGGGAAGGGAAGGGAAGGGAAGGGAAGGGAAGGGAAGGGAAGGGAAGGGAAGGGAAGGGAAGGGAAGGGAAGGGAAGGGAAGGGAAGGGGAGGGGAGGGGAGGGGAGGGGAGGGAGGGGAGGGAGGGGAGGGGAGGGGAGGGGAGGGGAGGGGAGGGGAGGGGAGGGGAGGGGAGGGGAGGGGAGGGGAGGGGAGGGGAGGGGAGGGGAGGGAGGGGAGGGGAGGGGAGGGGAGGGGAGGGGAGGGGAGGGGAGGGGAGGGGAGGGGAGGGGAGGGGAGGGGAGGGGCTGTACCATTCCTTTTGTGGGACATTGGTCCTTTTATAGCTGTTTTCAAGGTAGTCATTTTTACACTGAAGAAAGAAAAAATAAGAAAAAATGCAAGATACATTTTATTCATGCTTGTAATGTCAAAAAAGCCAGCTCATGTTTGGTGTGGATTTTCTCAGCACTGAACAATGTGTTTTATTTGTGTAATCTTTAAACTATTTTACATTTTCCTTTCTGAAATCTGTTTTAATAAAACCAAACAAAATGCCTTGAGAACAAGTCAGAGATATGCTGATGAAGTAAGCAATTAATGTTACTGCTTATCTGGAGTTCCATTTATGCTGTGCAGCCTCCACAACTGGGTCATTGTGACCTGCGAATGAAACTCCTGTGATGAAAGCCTCCACAATTTAAAAATAAAAATTAAAAATTATAAAAAAGTCTCACAGAGAGCTAAGAAAATACAGAAATACAGAAAAATGTATGTTTGAAACTTCTAAAACAGGTAACTATGCAACACTCATATGTCTTTGTTTTAACCAGTCCCTTCCATTAATTCACATTTCTTATAAAGTAAGGTACAAATCATTGAAAGAGTTTGGTCCTTTTTAATATATATAAATGACTCTTCTTAGATGAGACACTCTTCTGTCCCTCTTTTTGACAGGCAGCGTGTCTGATCTGAAGACTCAAAACAGGGATTCCAAGCCTCAGCTGTCATGAGGTGCACCATGGAAACTGAGTCTTTGCTAAGCTCTGTCTCACAAGAAAAGAAAATGTTTTTCTATCCAGGAGCCCGTTGCCAGCCTGCTCCAAAGACCATCTGACAGCTGACACTACTGTAATGACTTCTGGTTTTCCTCCCTACCATTTGACAGGTGCTGCACAAGCAAGGAAAGGTTTCAAGACGGTGCAGAACTCCAGGGTATGTCACAGCTTGAATCACTGTGCTGTGTAAGGAGACCAAAGGCCCACCATGACAGGCCTGGTGATCTCCCCCATTCCCATGAACCACCAGTGACACTGCAGACTCACGGAGATAAAGAGAACAAAGGAATGTAAAAGTGCTGAACAAACGCAAGGACAATGACTTAAAGACAGCCCAGAGCATGAGCTGAGCACCAGGAGCTCGTCATGAGCACCAGACTAACATTTAACTAGTTTGAAAGGGCTTAGCACAAGGCATAAGATCCAAGCAGGCACAGTTTGAGCTTGGTGAGAACATTCCAGGGAAAAACAACACCAGAGGACTGTTTCTTCTCTCACTGGATGTGGGTGAGAGCAATAATTCATGAATACGTGTTGTTTGGAGAAAAGGCCTTAAAGAATCAATTGATTGTGATGACTTGTCTAGCTGTAAACTTTTTCTTTCTTTTCAACTTTTTTTTTTCCTGCTGTTGTTTTTTTTCTTCCCATTTTTACTTGATTTACATTTCCTGTGAGTGATTGCTTGATTACTCCCCAAATCTGAAAGACATCCTAGACACCCCGCTACTGGTGCCTCACACCCTTACACGGCCCTTGTATTTCAGTTTCCACCAAGCCCCCAAAAATGCCCAGTTAAAGAGATATGGCTTCCTCTCCTCTTATAGTGCCATCATCAGAGTGACATAAGAGATTGTGCTGGAAGTGAATTTTCTGCCTTTGGGGACACCATAAACTTTTTCTTGATCTGCCTGATAGAGGCATCGCTCCTTCAGGCATGTATTTTGAGGGGAACCAATACCTGACCTCCCAAAGCAGCACATTGCTGGTGTTGTGATGGGAAGTGAGAAATGGGGCCACTGGCATGATGGACTAAAGGTCACATCATGAACATTGCCACCACAGGTAAAGTTAATGGGAGCAGCTGGTCAAAAGCATCAATAAAAGCAAAAATCTAACTCAGTAGAGAAAATGAACCAGGAGCCATTTTCTTTACAGCATTGCTCTGGGGGTTGCACAGATACACCAAGCAGGGTTTGCTCATTAGAAGGCAGGTCTACGTTTGAGCTTGTTAGGAATGCAAGATGAGGCTTTGCATCCCATTTAGCAAGCCTTCAGATCATCTGACTGCATTTCTTTCCTGTAGATTCCTTCCTAATAATTCCACCGAGAACACAGACATATAATCTTACGTTTAATTTATGCAGCTTTGTTGTTAAGAAGAGTTAATAATGCAAAATGATTTATCCTTAAGGAATAATTTAACCATCCCTCCCCCTCCCTGAAAGAAAGAACAGAAAAGGAAGGTACATCCAGTTCAAATGGTCAGGTAACCACATACAAACCTCCTCACATGTTTGCATTCTTAATATTGGCATGTGTAATCTCCACTGTGAATTGCAAACATGAATTGCATGTAAACACTTTTCTTCAGAGGGAGTTTTTAGTCTAAGTACTTAGCTGCAGACACATATTTGAAAATCTGGGCCTTGTTGCTTTAAAATATTCATGCACAGGAACAGGATTTTACAGCTGTCATCTGGATAATTAAGCTCTTCATTAACAGTTGTTCTCAAACCAGTAGGTGACCTTTAATTTGGGATGAAAGTACTCAGGAATGGATTTCAAGCATTAAAAAACTGCAGAGTACTCCCTCTCACCTTGTCCATTGAAAATCTTTTGTAAAGCATTGGTTTTCCAAGAGAAATAGTGCTGGGTGAGACAAAAATATATTTCCAAGTCTAACAGAGCAAATGAGTGCTTCGCTTAACTTTGTTGTGACTGAAATACAGTGTTGCTTTTTTTCTTCTGTCTTCTGCAGTCTTTGCCATGTGTCACCTGGATCTTTTTTACCCCAACCCAACCACCAGCAGCAAGATGTATCCCCATCAAAAAAGAACCAGAAAAATTAGCAAGACCACCATGAGAGCAGTGCATGTATGGGAACATACTGTATATATGAACAGGTAGAAGATTGCAGGGCAGTATGGCACGATATAGACTTTTCTGTTGAGTCATCGTAACATCCATTGCTAAAATTCTTCATTAAAGGGGCTATTTTGGCTGAATACCCTGATAGGTGAGCACTGCTGGCTAAGTAAGGAAAATGACAAATGGAACGGATGGACAGCATCCAGGAAAACAAGATGCAACAAAGCACTTAAGAGAAGTTTCAACCGTACATCAGAAGTAGAATGATTTTCTTAATCTTAAGGCCGCATCCAGACACCAAATGATATTGGGACAAAATCTTCTATGTCCTGTGCCCTTCAGTCAGCAAAGAGAAGATACAGTCAGAGAGAGTCCTGAGGAGGCTTTCTAAGGCTTTTTCCCCTTTTTAATGTTGGCAAACTCTGAAGAAATGCAATTGAGGCGGGAGGGAGGTAGAGACAGGGAGAATTAAATTTCTCTCACTTAAAATAAGACTATACAAATAATTCTTATGGGGCAGTGAAAAGAATTGCACAGAGGAGGCTAATAAAAAAACAATGTTTAATTTTTCTAAGCTGGGTGTCCTGCAACCAATGGTCTGCACAAAGACTAATATTCATCCCTGCTCAGAGTACCAGCACAAGGACCATTTCCACAACAAATGACCTTTAAAGCAGGGCTGACATGATGTGTAAGTTTTGTGCTGGCCCTCTGCACTGCAGTGAATTGCACATCAAGCAGGTAATGCTTGCCTTTCGCCTATGAAAAATTGCCCACTTCCACCCCACCCCCAGCCACTTCTAATGCACATTTCTTTACATGTCTTTTTGACTAGCAGGCTCTGCATCATGAAATTACAGCAGAGTAACTTGCTGTTTTGAAAAATGCATGGGAAAATACAGCCCTAAAAGATGGGGCTGCTAGCTATTACCCAGGGTCTGGACGGTCTTTTTTGAGTTGAAAGGCCCAGCAAGGAGACAGCCAGGCTACAGGAACACCTGAGCTCCTATCTGCTCCAGTTGCATGGAAAATGAACAAGGGAAGAAAGCCAAGGAAAAGGGAAGGCGTCACGGGTCTCAGCCTGCAAGCAGCACCCTCTCCTCTGCAGACAGAGCCCATGGAAGCTGCTGTTCTCTTAACAGTCAAGCAGATGGGATGTTTGTTGCTTCTAGAAAATGTTTTTGTATCCTTACCTATAAAAAAAACAACAGGTGAACGCCTCTGCTGAATTACAGCTGTATTTCCCCACACACACCCAGACACAGAAGTTGTTTCATCACCACTTGTACCACTGCTGAACCCCGCCTCATCATCTCCAGGCTTTATCTTCACCTTTTCCTTCACTTTTAATGAAAATGATCCTTTTCTAACCAGGTCCCTCCTACCATCAAAAAGTTTGTCTGGAACGAGCACCCTTGTCATGTGCAGAAACAGGCACTCTGTGGTGCCATCCCTTTTTCTTCCCAGAGTGCTAATGTCCAAATCAGCAGTCACAGCTGTGCCTGCAAACTAACTCAGGCCTCTCCTTCACTCCTCAGAGGTCACCAGAGCTGCACGTCCTGACAAACTTACACATGTATATGCAACTCATGCTTTCCCTGGGCAGCATGTTAGACACTGTAAAACGAGATCAAGCCCTCAGTGCTTTTGCAAAATTGCTTTTGATCATAGGCCGTGTGAGAGTATCTTGCAGAAAAAAAATGCATGGGAAATAATTGAGCATATATTGTCCCACCTACTGTGCAGGCATAAAGCAAAATAGGTGGTAGGGGCTGCTTAGAAGAGAGCAGACAATATGCTGGATAGTCCCTGCTCTTCCCCCATTTCACAGAGCATCCTTCATCCTACTGCAAAATTTCCCAGGAGGTTTGATGCAAATGTGTATGATAAGCAAGGGATCAAGACCTGAGCTGGGGAAATAAACATGTTTGGCAGCTTGTGCTTTGCTACTGCATTCTTCATGCTACTTTTTAAGAAACAGGACACAGCAATAAGATGGTGCTTGAACAGCATTAGCTGCTCGTGGTGAGTGATCCACAGGAATGAGTTGAGCTGGTTGAGTGCTTTCCTGTTTATGCCATTTCCCACTCTTTTACATCTCTTTGAACCAATGCTTTCACATCTCCCTCTTGTCTCAGCACTTGTTCCTGCCTGTAATGGACACCAGTTTTACAGAGTTACAACTAATATCTGAAACAGAAAAATATTGCAATCAAGAAAACTCTCTTTAAAAACTAACAATATACTATTCCTTTGATTTTTTTGTCTTTTTTCCTTCACAACATTCTTTGTCATCCTGAAAGGTACTGTGAAATGGATGCTGACAGTTCTCATTTATTTGAGAGGACTTTTCATCAAAGGAAATGTTAGTGTTCTCTTCTTTCCCTCTACACATATATTTGTCTCCTCTCTTCCCCTGCACACACAAAACTCTCTGGTTTTCTCTCCCATTCCATTTTCTAGTCTGTGCCTACAAGCAGAGACAGAGAGCACGGTTCTTGGACAGGAATTACCTTTACTCCTCAAGCACATGAACAACTTGTGCAGAGGTTTGGAAGCCTGAGCTTGGCCAGTGTTTCCTAGGGTAAGCAAGAAGCTGGTGGTTTAGATGATTTGTCTGAGAAAATTAGAAGACATAGAAGCAGGAGCCTTGAACTGAAAGTATTCACGTCCTGACTTGGGATAGACTTTTACAACCAAAGAACATACCCTTCAGAAAAGCTGGGTTTAGATAGATTGAGATTGTCTGCTGTGAAGGAGAAAGGTAGTGAGTGATGCTGGCAATTATGAGAACCGATCGTCACATTATTTACATGACACTGGCTGGCATTTACCAGTTAATAAGAGCAATAGCAGAGTAGAGAAGCTGTGCTGTGTTTAAAGCCCTGCCAAGAAAAAAAAAAAAAAAAGCACTGCTGGGCAGCCTCCAGCCACAAAGCCAGGCTGGCTGGGGAGGTGCATACCCACCAAAATGCCCCACACTTCTCAAGGAGCCGGAGTGGTGCTGGGGCAGGAGGTTGGGGTGAGCTTGTGCACACACCTGCCCCCCATTCAGCACCGGTGTTTTGTGACCATCTGCTATTTTTGTATTTGTAAGCCTTCCTCACAGTTTCCTGCCCGTTCCCTTAATGAGATTAACTCAGAGTTGCATAAAAAATCCAATCTCAATCCATCCATATTAATAATTCAGAAGCTTCCCTTTCCTCCTCAAGTCACAAGCAGCTGTCCTGGATTCCTACAGCACCCAGTGCTCAGAATATGAATGTGGTGGCATTAGATACTCCTGTTTCTCAGTAGCAGTTCCTGTCATATCTTGCAGCATTATTTATAACCTGATTACTATGCTTTCTAGACTCAGCCCATGCATCTTCCAGGAATGGACTTCAGGCTGTCTTCTCAGAGTGGCTCCAAAGGCAGCAATGAACACGGCTTTCTTTCTCACACCTGCAGCCTGACAAGTTTTTTTCTGGACAGCTCAGTTAACCCTTTCCTTTGCTGTGAATGAGGCTGAAGAAATTGTTATCCTCCTTCCTCCAGACTCATTATCTTAGGGCAATTAGACCAAAATGACTCCACCCTTAGCTTTTTCTGGTTTATCTGGTATAAGGATGTGAGATTTTAGTGTAATGTAATAAAAACATGTGCATAGTACTAGAAAACAGGACTTCCTTGATGCTTTCAGTGTAGAAAATGATAGCTTTTGCATTACAGCATATGCCCTACATGTTCATTCAAGCTTCTCTTCACCTCTGAGTCATTTTGGGCAAACAGCATAAAGTTTTCTACAGAGGCATTAGGTCCTGACACTTTAATGATTGTTGTGAAGTAAAACCCAGTCAGCAGCTGCTCAGGTCAAAGATCCTTTTTGACCTCTGACTTCTTTGTATTTCTTGGAAAGCAAGGTTCTATGAATGGTCAGGAAGATTTATTTTTAATAACCAGTTCAATTAGAAAAATACAGTTAATTTTCAAAATAAAAAAATAAAAAAAAATAAAAAAAAAAATAAAAATAAAAACTTACATCAGGAAAATATGCTTATTGTGTCATAGCATTTCCAAACTTGCAAAGCTGGAAAGTTGGTAGGTATGACATTAAAAAAAGAAAAAAAAAATCCCTTTCTATAGCATCCCATCTCCCTCCCAGGCTGGTGTGCAGAATGTTGCTGTGCTCCTCTGGGAGTATGGTGCCTGTGGACACGACTTCACACGTATGCACTGACTAGAATCGCTCGCTTAGAGCTGTGCTTCCCTAAAATCTTTGATCAGGTTCAGGCCATCACATCTCACAGGAATTTATTGTGAGGTGCTTTCATGGCACTCGCTTTATAATAGCAAAATAATAAAAATACTAATAAATTCTGGGCTTGTTTTTTTAGCAATAAAATAAGCTTTCATGTTGGAGGCTCAGAGGAGGACATGAAAACCAGGCCTGTGCAGCAGGAGCTGACTGAAGTATCCGAATGCCTGAAAACTTTTGAAGGGTCTAGAAATCAGATGCTTTACCAAAGGGAATTCAGCAAATCTTGTAACCAGGAAAACTGGAGGTGGTGGAAAGGAGTGCCCTCCTTCATCCACGGGCAATGTCTGAAACACCCCAAAGCAAGCACAGGCTTCAAGGGAAAACAGCTCTCTCCTGCTGCAGAAGAGCCAAGGAATCAATTTCTCCTGGATCAGCCCCCACACAGCGGGCAAAGCAGTCTTTGGCACGGCTCTGTCTTTGGCTGCTCCCCCAACCCAAGGTCAGTACTGTGGTCAGTCCTCCTCCCTGAAGTTGCTGTGCCTGAAAAATGAATGACTCCAAGAGTGGCATGGCAGAGCACTCCCACACACAGCTGCAGAGTGTTATTTAACTGCATAGATGTTATTGAAGTACAGATGGTAATGCCTGTTTTCCTCCAGGATTATAAAAGGCAGCATTACATCATGCCTATACTGAGAAACACTCCTTCCTTAAGGACAACAGCAGAAAGCTTATCTCAGAAAAGCATGATAAAAATGCAAGGGTGCTGGCAGGTAGGGACAGGCAAGGCTGAATCCTTCCACTCCTACACCTCATGACCTTGCCTGTATTGCTCATCTGCTCCCTGTCCAAGGAACATAACTCACAGGGGAGAGGATGAGGCATGCAAGGGAAGGTTTGCAGTGCCTCCACTTCTGCTGTCCATGTTGCAATCATAAGTTTTATGATAGAAAGTACCAGAAGAAGTATTAAAAAGAGTGTGGTATGATGGCGATGTTGTAACTCACCTATGTAAAAATGTTAAGGTACCAAATGTCTCCTGTGGGCCTGGGAAGAGCCCAGGACCACCCCAGGACTTATTCAACTTCAACATGGGAGGGTCAGAGGGGACATAAGGTGGTGCCCACATAGCTGGCCCTGACCTATGGCCAGCCCTGCTAGGCCCTTGGAGGGAGGCACGGACCTCAGCCCAGAAAGGTGAAACATAACTTGTTTCATCCACAAGTGAATTCACTTCACTCTTGATGTCAACAGCATCTGCAAAGTGCACAGAAAAACAAGAGCTGCAATCAGGCTGAGTCAGCTCACCATGACCAGTGTTGTAGTTTCTCCTGTGATATGTAAAAGATCCCCAGATTTCATTTCTGCCATCTGTGCTCTTGATGATGACAGGAGTTAGGATATATTTAATACCAGGTGAAAAGTTTGAGACGCTGCTGCACACATGGGTGAACCCTTATAGAAGTTTGACAGAAAAGATTTGCTTGCAGCAAAAAGGCAGACATTCATCTTGATATATTTTCTGTCACCTACTGCTGCAAATATGTCATTTTGTTGCTCTTTCTTCTTCTTCTCAAATAAGCATTTCACCTAGGAAAAAAAAAATCAGAAAAATAAATTTATTTCTATTTCTATAATAGATGCACTTTCACTTCAGGATTTTTCGCTCTGTGCATGGGTAAAGGTATACTTTCAGTGTTTTTTCGTATATTTTTTCCATTTATGGGACGACAGATATTAATTATATCAATAAAAATACAATTTGCTCTGCTGTACTGGAGGAACAACTTCTGTAAAAGGGCAACTTCTCTGAGGTTCTCATTATCTCCTATAAAATGTTCCACAGTTTAATGTCCTCCTCAGGATGAAGAGCATCCTCAGAGTTGCCTTGGGAAGACAAGGAAATACATATTTGAATACATACATGAATACAGGTAGTTTAAAAGTGGTGGTGCTCACTGAAGGTTTACTCTTCATTTATTTAATGATATCAGATACTGTGTGGTGATTATATGGAGAAATTAGTAATAAATCTTCTTTAATAAGAAAATAAGATTATATTTTGAAAAACTAATAATCAAGGGCATAACATTCCTAAACTACTAGCTATAGCACTGTTACCTAGTATAATATCAAGAATTTAGGTGTTATATGTTGGCCTAGCCCATTCAATTTTGTTTATAAATGATAATCGCATTAAGAGATAATTTATTTGAGAGAGAGATGTCTGAAAATTAAAACAGCAGCAGCAAAATCTCCACAAAATAAAACCTTCAAACATATTTCTGGAGCTATTATTGAAAAGGTTGTCATATTTGTGTGAAATCACAGGGAGGGAGTGTATGCAAGCATTCTGCTCAGCATGAATGCCAAACACCCACCACAGTGCTAGATTAAATTTAATAATAATATGTTCCAAAAGGGAGATACACTGCAAAGCAGATTGAACAAGCCTTTAGTGTGTTTTGACACCCAGAAGGGAAAGGTACCAATGTAATGCTTTTTTTCCACCAAACATACCAGATCCACAACAATTAACAAGAAGACTGCAAGAAAAAAAATACCACCAGTTTGCCAACAATAGCAAAATATGACTACAGAAGGGAAAAGTCAGTCTCTGAGGAAGAACAAGCTCCATATGGACTTGTTGCTCCCAAAAGGGCTGGAGATACCATTTACAGAAAGAACAGACTGTAAGCAGGGGCTTTATCCTGGAAAACACTCGTTTCTTCTTAGAAGCGGTGTTATTAAGCATGCATGATTGTTGAGGAATGAGCTTGTTTTTTTCTGTGCAATAATGTAACGCAAAATGAAATTACTGTAGTGTCCTATCTTTCCCCCAGTAGATCAGAGACTCATTCCAATGGGTGTGCTTGAATTTCATGAAATAATGAGCAAGGGAACCTGCAACATAAAGTGTATTTTCATATGCTCTTAGTGTGTGTGCTTTTTTTTTTTTTTCTTTAATATTTCCTTCCTCTCTCATTGATTTTCTAAGAGCAATGAAGATTTAAAAATAAAGGGCATCCTACCTCACATCCTCCATCTTTAAACATTTCAAGATATATGTGATTTATCAGCTGAACATATGGTGAATAACACTAGCAACATGGTCAGAGCATGGGATTAATCTAAACCCCACAAAGGAACAAAACTACACAACTCCTTGTTTAAATCATTGTGTAGATCCAGATAAAAAAATACAGTTGCCCATTGGGTATGGACATTACGCTTTTCAGGTTGCTAGAGGACTATATTCTTCTCAAGGCTAGCTCAAGGCTCCCCAGTTGTTTTGCTGCTTCAAGGATGAGGACAAAATAACTAACACTGAAACATTGCAGTGACAGCCATCCAGATCCCACCAGCACTGTCCTCCCTGAATAAACCAAGCCCGACTGATTTAGAAAAATCTCTTCTTTATCATCACCTTGGTTGGAGGTATAGAGGAAAAATCAGACTTTTTTTTTTAATTGTCACACATCACATTATTGCTTTTTTGTTCTAGAATGTGAAGTGACTGGGCTGTCTTTATTGGAACAAGTGTTCCAACGGCCTCACATCTTGTATTAATTAATTGTCCCTCTCCAATTAATTACATCTCCATTCCTACAGGCAAGCCGAGGAACTGAGGTTTACAGACCTGAGCAGTGTTTTACATTTAGCTCATTGGGAATCAAATAACCATGAGGAAATAGAGAATCTGATACATAACAAAAATCTAGCTGAGATTATTTCTTGTAACTCCTGCATGTAAGCCCAGACAAATGAAGGCCCAGAATACTTGCCATGTGACTTTCATTAATGATCTTGAAACAAATCAATGAGTTTCTGACACCAGAAGTTTGTGTTGCTCTGGAGGCAGTTAAATTACTCCATTTGCAAATTGTGATGAAGATTTGCAGTGTCTAATAGATATCAAAGAAAACCCTGCCAGAACCAGTCAAAAAAACAGCAGCCAGGTGAGTTTCATATGACTTTTGAGTTTGATGGGAAATATTTCTCACTGCTGAGTAGAAAGGGGTTACTAAATTGAATTATTTCAAGCCACAATCATAACAATAAGTAATACTAATGAAAGAAAATGCAGGTATATGTCTTTGATTCACAACAGAGAGAAACAACAACAAACAAACATAATTTGGAACTATTGTCAAAATGTGCTAAAAGAGCTCATTAATGCTGTTAACTGAGCCTAACTCGGTGTAAAGAGGAATGATTTAAATGTGTGAATATATTCAACACATCTTCATATGAGAGCCAGTTGTCCATGCTGAGCGCTTAGTGCCCTGTAAGGACAAATACTCACCTGAGCAGCAAACACTTCTTTCCAGAGGATACCCATCCTGTGGTCTCAAGAGATGTTCTACCATATTAGAGAGGCAAAAGCAGACATTAATGATACATTATTGCACCAAGAACTGTTGTTCTAGGATTCAAATCTGAACTACAGTGATGTAGTGTAACCATAGGAGGCTTGTGATGAATACAGAGTTTAAATGATGATTTTTCTTTTAAAAGTGATCTCATTCGTAGTTCATTTTTCTAATTCTTGTTATTTTATTGGATAGTTTGGGAAATAATGGATTTTTTTTTTCATCTCTGTTCCATGATTGGTCTGAAAACCTACAAGAAATTGGCTTCAGGTAAGATCAGAATACTGTGGAATTTACCTGGAATATGACAATGAAAAAGTTATAATATGGATGCTCATTTTCTTCCTTCTTATCCATAATAAGAATCCTGAAGGACTGGGCTTTTTCCACCTTCCTGTGAAGCACGAGATCTTGTCCACAGGAGGCATGATAGCGTGCTCTCGATGCTATCACAATCCAGGTGTCCAGCTAGTGTGTTTCCCTGGCAGGATCAGGGACAAAGTCATCATCTGGCTAGAAACTGAAATTTTTCCTCCAAATTAGTTTGAGATGATCATTGTTTACTGGCTGACTGCTTTTAGTTCTTTTGTTGTCCATCTTTTTCTGTTGCTGGTGTGGCCTACTTTCTGAATATCTGGGACTTTTTCCTTAAAAACTTAAACCTTAAACTTAAACCTTACTTTTTCAAGAGCTGTGATGCTGGAAATGCCTTCAGCTGTCCCATGGCACAGCATATTGGGGGGTTTGGTCTTACACTACATTTCTTCAGTTAGTTTTGTAGTTGGTGAAGAAAGGAATGATACATGCAACAAATGTTCAGTGGTTCTTTAAAAATAAAATGCATAGAATATGTTTGTTTGTGAATGTGAGGGGTGGGTCATGGCGACACAGCTGGTTCCTTCCACCTTCCCACATGGCAGCATTTATATACTACATGCTATTTGGGGCTAAGCAAGCAATAAATGTAAGAGATGAAGTAGATGTTGTGACAATGACCCACAGTCTTGACCTTGCCTCTATGTCTGTGATGAGCTGAATTGAAACCCAAGATCCAAACAGTACCAAAGCCTAGCCAAAACCAGAGTCTGACAACTGATTTGTAAAGAAGTGCCTTTTAAAAAAATTCTAGTTATACTATTTCTTTGTCATTCACCACTGCATGATACATTCCTCATGAAAATATGAAGACAAAGCTGACGAGGAGTGCTGACTACAACTAATACTGTGGAGCTATGATGCTTGTGCAAAAGGAGCCTACTTTTCTTCAAATTTCTCCCAAGATCTGCCAATGGTGGTTAACGTCAAAGGGTCACCAAGGGCTGCGTGCTCGTGCATTATTCAAGATATGCACTTTTTTATGAGAAATTTTACATGGAGAAAGCAGGCACTGGTGAAATGTACTATGTAAATAACGTGGAGAAGTCTTCAGTATGTACACAGTAATAATATTAGGCAATAAAATTCCTGCCAAAATTGATTGATATGCCTTAATAATGCTTTGCCACTTTCCTAAGGGAAGAAGAACAAAATGGAACTGAGACTTGCCTGTGTTGGAGATGATATTTTGTAAGTACCTATTTCTTTTCAGTCACTTTCTAGGAAAGGTTTTTGCACTGATAGTGTAATCGTCTCCTAAAGAACCCTCCTAGTGTGCTTCTCTTTATGAACTGACATTAGCTGTTATTAAAATACATATTTATTTACATGGAATTGAAAGCATACTTATTACATTTAGCTTCTACAAGTATATGGTAATAGTAAATGTATTGGGTCACTGCACTCTTTGTAGCATGTTATCTCCTTTTAGATTCTTCTTGCAAGTATAGGAATAGATTAGAGCAAAATATATTTTAACACATAGAAAAGTACAAAGTGCTTCAAAATAAAGTCATTCATTTCCATCTGCTTTTTTTTGGTTTTTTTTTTTTAGAAGGAGTTTTGCCTAAGGGTTTGATTTCATAAAAGCTAGACAGGAGTCCTGCAGTTTATGCCATCCAGAAGCTTTTATTGTAGGGATGGAGATTGTAAAGGTGGTTTGAGATTTTCAAGCTGAGCACTTGTGTTCATAAGAAAGAACAATTTGCTGATAAGTTAGAACTGAAAAGGATCATTAAAATTCTGGAGTCTGGAGGAGGTAAAATAAAAATAATTAAAAAATAATAATATGAATCTGCCAGTGTAAACAGCAGTACAATAAGCTGCTTTGTGAGAAAAACCCAGTCCTTCAGACAGCCTCAAACACCCTTTTAACTCTAGCAAAAATCCACTAGTTTGCCAGCTGAACTTACTCACCTCCTCAGCCTGAAGTTACTGCTAATTTAAACCAGTGAAACTTTCCTGACTTCTAGTATTTTAAGACCAGAGACACAATTCCAACAGTGATATGTGCATGGCACCAGCCAAACAATTCATATTTGCTAAAGTGTTAAAATAGTACTGAAAAGCAATCTTGTATGCAATCTTGTACTCTTTTTGGATAACAATTTTTCCATTCACAGTTGCGTTCTGTAATTTAGCAGATTAATTGGCATACAAACCACCTAGTAAGGGCCCACCATGACATTTGCAGACAGCTAATCTTTTCATCAAGATGGCAGATTTCAATTGTTTTGCAGAAATCAAAATGTGATATTGACATCATTAAACCGAGCAAACTGATGTTTCATAAACCCAAAGCAACAATTCTGTTATTATTTTTAATTCATTACTTATTGATTCTCTTTTATTTTTACATGATTTTTCCCTCCAGAGTGCTGCAAAATTAATTGGTCTATAATTTGCTGAGTCATTCAATTCACCTTTTTAAATTGTGTCACAATATTAGCTCTGGCATTCCTCAGCCCTCATGCTGTGAGACTTGCTAGAAATCAGTGCAAGCAGGTCATAAATACCCTCAGGCAATCCTTTCCATGCTCCTGGATACAGGCACTAGATTTCTGAGATTTAAAAATGCTTAATTTCAGTAGCTGTTGTTTAACATCCTCTCTAATTAAGAATAGAACAGAAAGCGTATGTTACCATGCTGAGACACAAAATCATCATTCTGCTTCTTTGTGACCATAGAACAAACCTTTTTTTTTTTTTCTTGCTATATAAACAATACCTTTATTAGACTAACAGAAAGCATTGATCATAAAGACAGCAAGTCGAATAAAAGACTATCATTCCCAGCAAAGTTTGACTTACCTAAATCTTTACACCATCACAGCTCCAAACAATACCATTAGGAGGAAAAAAAAAGAAAAAAAAAAAAAACTCAGTGTCAGGACTAATTTTATCATGCTTGTCTACGACTTTTCATGCACCAAGGCTAAGGTCTCATCTGTTTCTCATACATTTAAGGAATCCCTTAAAAACAAAGAGATTTAGACTGTTCAGTACTTTCTTTAGCCTCTTTTATCTATTTTCTGAATTTTCTGTAGGATTTAAGAGCCTCACATTCCCATTTCCTATATGGTAACGTGTATGAATGTGTAAACATATCTGTTTTCTCATATAATTGCTGCTCTCACTTCTAATCTGCAGCAGGCTGTAACCTGTTTTTCCCTGATTGTTGAATTTCAGGGGCTTGAAATTTAATAAATCTTTCTTCAAGAGTTTTCTATTATCAGTTGTAGACTGATGTTTCAATTTTTCTCATTATCAGTTTGTCTTTTGAGAATTATCCCTTTTTAGAGAAGAGAAAAAGCAAGTGAGAGAAATTGCTGGATATATCTGTCTTCCAGTTACAATCAGTAAATGCAGCTGGGTTTGATCTCTCATGTTTCATCAATACTGTTTGCTTTCTTGCACAGCAATCAAGTTCCCTTACACAACAAAGTAAGGCCTAATATGAGTGTTACCTAATAATATTTAATAGCGATTTTTCTTTCATTCTTGGAAAGCTACATAACATTTTTAGAAACTCACATGAAAGCAGTTTTAACAACTGCTTATTCCCTCTGCTTATCTCACTCAAATTATGAAGAGATGCTCCTGGTGACCTGCAAAGGTCTTTCTCCCTCACTCTTTCTCCTCCATTCAACCACTGCCTCTTAGCCCTTCCGTATGGAGGCCTGTTACCATCAACATGCAGGAGCTCTTCCACTTGAGAAATAGATGACTCCAGGGTACAGACAGCATCTTGAATGCAGAGAGCTTCTCCCAGGCTACCACAAGAACTGAAAGCCTGCTGCCCAATTTAATTTTCCTGCAGAGGCTATGGCCAGTGATTTGGGCACTCCAGCTATCTTGGTCTTGCTACTAGCTCTCAATAATACTAATAGTATCCAGTTCCTTTTCATGAAGGGGAATGTGTAATTACTCTTGTTTATGACCCAAGGTTCTTGTGTTGGTAAAAAGGTTCTTAAAGGACTGCTTTTCTTTAAACCCCTCACTGCTTTGGTTCTTTGCATCACTGTAACCTTGAGCTTAAGTAATACAACTTGAGCAAATATACTGTGTTAGTGTCCCTTAATTCAGTCTCGTTTTTATGCTGGTTTAAAATCCTTGGAGTCACTTTAAGCAGGTAACTCCCCAGAAGTTAGACAGCTGTCTTAGACCCAAGGCAATTCACACGCCTTCCAGCCCTCCCTTGTCATGCCCTGTGGTGTGCTGTCACCTGCAGCTCTGCAATGCCGATTTACTGCAGGTATAAAACACCCCCTCTCTCACTTAGAAGTACTGGTGTCAAGAATCATGTCCAAAGCCTTTTTAAGATGTACTTCCTCCTTTATCTAAATCCTATTATTTTTAAGCCCAGGGGTCCCCTCCTCCTTCCAAGTACCTTCACCATGGAAAGCTCTCCTGTATGTCCATACAACATAGTGATGTGTACCTATTGCACCAAAATTATTAACCATGCTGGTTTTGCTGACCACTGTTTGTGTAATTCACTGCTGCAGCACATATAAAGTGCTTCCAGTTCCATGTATAACATAATTTCCCTAGGATATAAAGCTTTATGACCACCTGCTGCTCCACTAACAGAGGTTATGGGCAGCCCATCTTATTGTGATGCCAACTTGCAGCATCAACAGAGAGGTCTGGAAGACTAAACATCCACCCTGTTATACAGGAACCCTGATTGATAGCTCCACCCTCCCCCAAGCACCATTTCCCTGGTGTTGGTTGCTGTTATAAATAAGCTGCATGCTAGCTGTTTTGCTTTCACTGACTGGTGTTCCTCAGGCAGTTCTGTACAGCCTTGGGATGAGCTGCACAGATTAGCTCTGGGTGTGCAGCCCTCGGGGATGTGTTGTTGTCAACCGTTCTCTTTTTTTTTTTTTTTTTTTTTTTTCCCTGCAAGGGAGAGGAAATCTGACAAGTGCAGCTAGGCCTGATAACAAAGCTTTGGTAGGAGATCAAGTGAGAGAGGTGCCAGTTACTGTGTTGTGTCTCCCCCTGTTCCCTTGGCACCTAGCAGTCTATTTAAATCCTTTCTCATGTCCATAGACAAAGTCTGGGACACGTCATATTGCAGAAAAACAGCCTTCTCATCCCCACGTGGTAAAATATGAGCAAGTCACTGCAAAGCATTATCTGGGCTGAGCCTGCCTCCCTAACTGGGGGGAATGGCATCCTGCATGTTTTTGCACAAAAATCTAGAGAAAGTATTTGCATACTAAGGCAGCAGTAGGATACATCCTCCCATGGCTTGCAAGTAAACAAACATTATCTTCAGTGGGATCTGCAGATCATCACTTCAGTGTGGAGTCAGTACAGTACTGTGGTCCCAGACAAATATAATCATTAGGTACATAATTAAAGAGCATTGATAGAGAAGTAGAGAGCTTAGATTTTCTCTGCACATGATACTCACCCACCTGTGATGGAAATACTGTTATGTCTGTTGCTCAAAAAAGAATAAAAAAGAAAAAAATATCCTGAGAATGATTTGAGGATATGACAACACAGTTAAGAACAACTAATTCAAGGAGCTCAAGCTATTTATCACGTCAGGTCACCAGGGTTACTTGGTTAGGTCCCAGGGAAAAATATTTTGAGTAGTATTTTACTGCTAGATGTCAGACTGAATACATCAAAGATCAGATGGCTAGAACCTAAAGCTAGGAAAAGCTAGAGACTGGAAATGCATTACAACTTTTAAAAAATATTTGCACTTAATCAGAGGTAAATTGGATTCTCCATGACAAGAAGATGTTGCAATATAAGGGTAGGATTTTGTTTGGTTTCACTAATAATTCAAATGAGAATTAGCTCAGGGCAGTCCTGTGACCTTGATGGCAGCTTTCAGGTTTTGGCCTGTTGTATTCCTTCTCCTCACCTACACCCTGCCCTCCTGCCATCAACAGCAAAGGGACCTCAGCAGGTCCCACCACAGGAGGCCTCAGAGCACACAAAAAAGGGACCCACAGCACCTGCTTCTCCAGCCACTGCTGGCAGGTCAGCCCCTCAAGAGCATCACATACAAGTCCATTCACCCCTTCATCCCCCTTTATTTGGTGTCCTTCAATATATAGTACTCAGCCATGTGTGAAGTTACATGCCCCCCTCAATGGAGTTCAGCTCCAGCCACACAAACCCAGTGCTGGCATATATTTTTCTTGAAATGATACATTTTGTCACTCAGCATCCTAGTCTGTAGCAACAATCTCAAGCTTATGCTTTCCGTAAGAAAACCAGGCAATGTAAGGAAACAGACAAACAGCCTTTTAAATCCCACACAACTATTGCTAGGGCAATCCCATGCTTCAGAAACACTCTGCCATTCACCTCAGAAGCACAGAAGCTCCTCTTTAAGGACTTGTTCACACACAAGCATACTGGGGTATGTCAATGCCAATCTGCTGCAGGCAGGAGGCAATGCACGTTATTCAAAGCACAATCAGCCCCCAAGAAGATGCTAAGATGGCTCCAGGGTCCAACTCTTCAAGATTTAGCTGGTGTGACAGAGGACGCTGCCTTTCCCACCTGTCTGCCCTCTTTGCTTATTCCTGTCACCAAAGCAAGAGCTCAAGAAACAGGAAGAGTCTAATTCACAGTGCCACAGCTCATTGACTCAAGAGTTAATGCAAACAACAATTGATTTTGCAAGCAATTAATAAGTCAGTGATAAGCACAGCACTGCAGAGAGGCTGAGGGCAGGCCAAGCTATGACCCTGCTGAAAGAGTCTCAGGCTAGGGGAAGGAAATCTTCACAACATGAATCACCTGAGTTTGTGCAGCAGAGTCACTGTAATTTAATTCTCTGAGGCATAAACTAGAGATCTACAGCCACTTAAAACACCTGAGGGACAGCATCCAGGCATGCTATGAATTTTGCTCAGTGTCTTCACACCTTCACTTCAATTTCTGATTTTCATGCAGACGTGGACCAGGAGTCATAAAACCACTTTTCAGATTCATCCTTGTGCACCCTCCCAAGGAGCAGTTTGACCACAGAGTGTCTTAGTGCTTTGACCAGAAACTGGATTTTTGAGAAGCTGTATGTGCAACTCTCACCCTGCTTCACTGGTTGCACCCTTTACCAATCCTGAAGAGAGCGGGGCATTTAACCCAAAACGCTGTTTTTGTGATTAGGTGTGAGGTGCTTACAGGCCTCATATAGACCTGATATTGTCTTATGCAGGGATTTTTTCAGTTGGTGTAGGTGCATCGCAGAGTTCCAGCTGAATAAGAACTCCAGCTCCTTGCATCCAAGTAGTGTATAAATTTTGAATGCGTAAGATATTAAAAATTGAGTGTCCTTAATGAGGTATGGGTCATAAGTGCTTCTGTTGTTTTTCCATGTTACTAAAAACTACTGTGAAGAGTAAGGTAGTGAGGTTCAGAAATGTATTTTAATCATTATGGGCAGTTTATACGAGAATTATGACTTTAGATCCATGCTGCTGAATACATGCCTAAAACCTATCTGGGTTTTAAGAACAGCGTGTCTTTTGATTTGTCTTTTATTCAAAGCCAATTAATATTTATATTTTACAGTAAGCTAAAACTAAGCTTTAAAACCAATGAAATCTTTTCTATTTGAAACTATAACTGCTTAAACTATCCCTATCTTGTCTGAGGATGTTGCTTCCTTTAAACTGTAAGGATAGCACTTCCCTATACACTCAGTTATAGAGTGGTGATAAGGAAATTTTTGAATCCAGTAGAATTTCATCAAGCTTATAAACGTTACTACACTTTTATATTTAGTTCAGAGATTTCTGTCGGGTATTTGGCTGTTTATTTTAAATAAAATTATTTCTTTTCCATACAGCATCAGAATATCGCTCTGTGTTTGTAGAAATTATTACAGCTCAAAAGAGCCTGATCTCCACCAGTCAGGAATTTACCCTCATATATGTAAATCAGTTCCTGCATTAATTTAATAAGTACTTCTGTCTGTTCTTATCTGATCTTATGTAGAAGAGGAAGTGTTTGAAGTGAACCAGGGATGTTGGGTTAGAAATCTTAGTTACGTCTAGAAGACAATCAGCAGGCTGGATTAGTCAACTATTTCCAAAGTCTCTCTGCTGACACCTTTTCTATAGAAAGTCATTGTTGGGCTCCAAGAAGAGGCAAAATGATTTGACGCATACTCCCTGCAGTAACCAATGTACATAGATACTTCAACAAGTGTTGCTGGGCCTTCTGACCTCTTCCATAAAAGACCCTCAGGCTACTGCTGGACTCCTGCACCACATCCACATTTCTGCAGCATCCACCCCTATACATGTTTTTGCTGTGCAGCAAAAGGGAGTTGCTTTTTGCCTCCCTATAACTGAGGATCTGCTACCTGACATTTCCTAATCTGCTCCCTACATGGGTGCAGCAGCTACCAAACACAAGATAACATGGCACAGTCTCACCCTGCCTCTCTTTGTGATAACCCATTTATCTCGCCCTGCCATTAATAAGCCTTTGCAGCTCAAGAAGCAAACATCTTTGGAAACAACAGCTTAGACTTTGTCCTGATTTCACTCCAGCTCCCTGCTGACAGATACTGCAAGCAAGCTCTTATAACTTGTCTCACTTTTCTGATTAAAAGTGTTATATTTATGTGAGGCTAGAATTTAAGGCATCAGATTGGACTCCAGCCGTAGTTAAGTGACAGTGTTTGCTAGATAAGTATCCTGAAAGCTTTGCTGAGGGTTTGCTCTTCTGAAACAAACTGTAATGATACCATAAATAAAGAGTGGCACACAGGAGGGCTCAAATTGGATTTCAGCCTTAGTCGAGTGATAAAATGGCAGTGCCTTTTAACTAGGATACAAGAAACCTTTCTGCAAGGGGTCCTCCAGAAATGAAATCCAATAAATGCACACAATTAAAAGAGAGGGAGAAAAGCAAGGGGCTGTGCAAGGACAGTTTTCCCAGGTAAACTGGAGACAAAAAGTGAATATGCAAAGTACCTGGTCATAAGAAAACATGTATGAGCTCATCAATCGCTTTAACCATAATCCTCAAAGACAAGTCTTTTTCTTACCTCTAAAAATAGAACTGGATCTTTAACCGTGTCAGAGCAGCAGATAATAGCCATCAAGAACCCACAGAGATCCAGCTACCAGCATGAAGATTTTATTCTTTATGAGAAAAAGCACAATTTTAGCTTTCCAAACATAAATGGGAAACAGCATCCGGGAAATCATAGTTTCATAGTTTGCTAAAGGGAATATTTTTTCTAGGTGGGATAATAATAGTCTTTTCAGGCTATGTCACATACATAATTGGTTCTCTTTTTTTCATTAATGAATTTCTATCTCTGGCTCACTGAACTGGACCAACTGAACAAAGGTGATCTAACAAAAAATAATACACTTCATATTAGTAAAAATCATTCGTTTGTAAGTATGTATGGGAGAGGAGAAGCAGACCTGTGGAAGAAAGGCCTCCTCTCCATACATCCATATAAATGAATGATTTTACTAATGTAAAGAGAAGTCTGCTGCTGTTAAGCCTTGTCAATGAGATTAGAAACAGGGCCCTGCTGTCTGCTCCTTAAAGTATATTATTTTTTGTTAGATCACCTTTGTTCATAACACGGTCATTGAAAATTTAATGTTCTTACATATATCACTGTCAGACTTTATTGCACATTCACGGAAGAAAGTAATTCCATCAAGTGATAGACTATGAAGGCTACTAAATATAGATTTATTGGAAACTCCTGTTGAAGGTAAGTGAATCCTTTCTGCCAGCTGGAATAGAGAGCTACAGTCAAGACATTTTCTTACCTGTCTTGATGTAGAAAAAATGATGACTGCTGAATTCTAAAATCAGATTATCACTGCAGTGTCTATAAGCTTACTTTTAAGTATCCAGTATTTGT